TAGCGCTCCGGATTTCTTTGTTCACAACTGTTTATAAACTCCAAATGAAACATGTAACATTGTAAATATTTAGTGTTTGGTAGTTTAGTAGTAGTGCTAGTTGTTTTTGCTTCTCTATTTCCTTTGTTTTTATGACTTCCTAACTTTTTTCTTTGTCCTGAGGAAGGGACAGGTTGTCCCGAAAATTTGACAATTATTATTGTTCGTGTCGTTGGTCATTTTTAGTGCTTTACATAAATTTCCATCCGTGACCTTGTATCTACTTAGTGGATCCGACACTTAGGATATACAGTGTTGTTGGTTTTTAGTGCTTTATATATATATATATATATATATATATATATATATATATATATATATATATATATATATATATATATATACATGTATATGTATGTAAGATCATTACCTAAATATGCAATATATACATCGTCGATGTAAATAAAATCCAAACCAAACACGGAAGGGGAAGTCTCACTATGGTCGTTTAGGGCGGAAGGCTCACTATATAGTCATTGCCCCACCCCCACCCCCCACCCCCGGAGGGGAAGTCTCACCATATAGCCAGACTTCCGGGGGGAAGACTCACTATGGGGAAAGTCTCACTATATGACACCGGGGGTGGGGGGGGGGGGGGCTGGCCACCAAAAATTTTCCTAGTCATAACTTTTTACTACTGAAAATGTTCAATGAAAGTCTGGTTGCCCCCCTCCGACTTTTTGTTGTAGTTTAGTCAAATAAGGGCCATGTACGTAGTGATGTATGAGTACAATTTGGTACTGAAAAAAGTTGGACCCCCCCCCCCCCCAAATAGAATTTTCGATTTGAAGAATTTTCCACTTTTTTTTGGTTTTGTTTTGTTTTTTGTTTGTTTGGTTGGGGTTTTTTTGTTTTGTTTTTTGGTGTTTTGTTTGTTTGTTTGTTTGTTTTTTTGCTTGTCAAGATTTTTAGGTAAGTTTTTTTTTCTCTGGCTACCCCTTTCAAAAACAATGCTACGTTTCTAAGTTTTATCTGTTTTTGTAAAAATTGCCAATTTGCAATACATACATCGTCGATGTAAATAAAATCCAAACCAAACACGGAAGGGGAAGTCATATTCATGTACTTATATTTTGAAAGTCTCAATATTTTAGATTATTTTTGGCGATTTTTTATTTCCATTTTCCTAAGATGGGTAGGCAATATCAAGCCGACATTTTAAGTATTTTTTTCCAAACGAGACGTTGACAAAATAATTTATTTTTCAAGATTGCCATCCTTTAAAAAACATATGAAGACTTGCATAAATTAATATTATATACAAAACGAAGAATAACAAAGTTATATGATGTTTAATTTGTGAATCAATAAGAAACATGTGATAAGATGACAAATCAAATTGAATTGTTATGGCGAGTTTCTTCGTCTCCCTCGCTATCTTCGCTGCTAATTTTACAATGTTAACAGATTTTCAGATTTTTTCTTGCTGACAGTTCTAACATATAAGGTTGAATATTCAATTTTATATCGATAAAATAAGTGATTTGGTCGTCAAAACCGCAGAAAATTCAGGTTGTATCGCGCATATTTTAGTAAGATTATTGAAGAGCTGATCAGCCATTGTCGCCTTTGACGTCACAGGGTCACGTGACCTCTAGCTAATTTAAAACTTAGATTTTTAATTCAGGGGTTTTCATTTGAGTCAATAATTGGTTAATTACCGCGATTTATCCACAGTAAAAACACAGAATTTATAAATTGTGGTCATAAGGTACGTAATATGCTTTTAATTTCAAATAATTTAGAAACATGCAATAAGTCCTTTAAATTCACACTACTTGTATTCGTCTTCGTTGAATGCGCTTCGTGGTTTGCGTGAGTGAATTTACATTTGTAAGAGAGATGATCATAATCATTTATTAAAGAATTGTATCAAATTAAAAGGAAGAAGAACGAATTTAATAAAGCAACATAGAAGTAAGGAAAAAAATGAAGAATGAAAAGAGTTCAAAGAGAAATGTAATAAAGACGAATATGAGAACAATAAAGTGACATATAGCTACAATAATAACAAAGAATAAAGAAGTAGGAAGAATAAGAATAAAAGCAAGATAAATAGACTTTTGGCGGTAATTCCCTTCCATACAGTACGTCTGAACTTTCTCCTTCACAGCAGTTAATATTTTTGTAAGGAGTAAAGATAGGGACTTGGTAGAGCATTTGTTGAACCCGGCAATATTCCTTTGTAAGGAATTTTATGAAGTTTAGGAATCCAGTATAGGTAGGGTAGATCAAACCTACTTTGGTTGACTGGAATGTAAAAGGTATTTAAAACAGAAATGTGATTTTAAAGAATTTCGTATAAAGAAAGTGACCTACTATATAAATTGGATTTAAAATAAAGTTCCTCTAAAATACAGTTATAATAATGAGCCTTTTAAACAAAGACGATATTAATTACAAGCCTTGTCGTCTGGAACCATAACGAATCTAATTCTTTTATCACCTCCGATTTAGTGGAAACGGAAGGATAGATTGTTTTTTAAATTTTAAATTTCTTAAAGGATTCTTTAATATATGTCTAAAACACGTAATACATTTTAACAAGATCTTCTTTTTCATATTTAGCCCAAGTCTGGCATAATCTTCGACAGAATTCTTAATAGAAATGAAGTTCTGTCGCCAATTGAAAGATCCCTGTATTTAGGACTTTTTAATATGATCGCTTTAAGGTCTTTATTTTCCACTATATTGACATCACCAGTAATGAGGTGTCCAGCGGGACTGTAGTTGAAAGAAGAAGAGCAAGAACACTTGAGGGAATTTTGTTTTAGATGTTCAATATCTAGGCAATGTAAGGTTTGTTTATAAATGAAAGTTTGGAAGCTTGACTGGCAGACAGATGCGCCCGAATCTTCGATTACGAGGGCATAAAAATGATTTTATATATTGATTTTAGGTGAAAGAATGGATGCGCAAATTAAAGATTTCTTTCTGTCATTTTCTTGTAAAGCAATAACAATATATTCTTAAAGTTAAATGTAAGTATATTGTTCATATGTAAAAAAAAAAAAAAAAAAAAAAAAATGTTTTAAATGCATACGATATTAAAAGGTAACCTTTTGATAACATATTGTGATCTTTGACATTTATTTCTATATGTTGAAAGGCCAAGGCAGTTGTTTTTTTTTTTTAAGGAAAACAGTGACAAACTAAATATAGAATTCATTAAAAAATAACTGAATGTTAAAACAGTTTGACAGGCCAAATCAAAATCATCATCATTCAGGGATCGACGTGTTATTCAGAAACATAAAATGGTAATTAAATACAAAATGCATACTCCTTCGAACTTCAAAAGACGACTGATTCTTAAGTAGATCTCAGACTGTGTTCTCTTTTGTTACAAGAACGTTCCTGTTTGCAGAAACCCCGGTGTCAAATGGTCTATATAACACAGTTTCTTCTTTTTGCTTTCACAAAGTAAATACACTCCATTTGAATCTTTGAATTCATTGCAGAAAATACGAATTAGAAGTGACTTCAAACAACCGTCTTAGTGAATGTGTTCTTTGAACATCAGAATTGACCCTATTCAGTCTTTCAATTTCTCTTTAGGACGAGACAGTCCGATCTACCCTTTTCTGCCATATCTTTTACTAACACTATTATAATCTATCAACAATTAAACTATGCAGAAAGGTGGCCTAAGGCGCCATAACAATACAGTGAATAAAAGCTGACAGATTATTAAAGAGAATTTTATAAAATTTTTGTTCAAATCTTAAACCATGCCTGAAGCGATACAATGTTTTTATTCTTTTCAAATAATAAACATATTTATATTTCACGGTGATGGCACTCTAGAAAGGAATGTGCTGTCATTATATTTTATAGAATCATAAGGATATCCTTTACAATGCGAGGAGGTAGGCAATCACTTTTTCTTGAGTTAACGATTTCATCACCAGCAAAACAAACATATATAAATCTAGCACTGAATTAATTTAAAAGCATAAATTATACTTTCGAGAAAATAAATTGAAATCTTGACCAGTATCATTCAAGATTGTTTGCAATCTAAAACATGGTTTTTTTCTTCTTCTTTAAATTTATAGATCCCCAATATTTGTTTCTTTTTCTCCAAATCGGGGAATGATTAATTGCCTGTTTTCCACCATTTGTCGCTAATTAATGTCGTTGAATCTTTTTTCACATCCTTTTACTTTTCTCGTTGGCAAATTTCACCCTTCATGATTATCTGCAATGCCCTCTCTAAATCTTCTTGTAGTTGTTTGAATTCTGTACGGATCGGGTAAGACAGTTGGACATAGATTATAAACAAACTTAAATCAAAATAGGTAGGTGTGTCACCCTCACATACCTAGAAATTTTCACGCTTTGACCAAAATGATTGTTATCTTGATGATGTTTTAGGTTTAAGTTTCATCGTCAATGTCTTCGCTGTTTTCTTTAACAATAACGAGTTACGTTGCGCCAAGTACGGCTGTTTCTCTCTGACGAAATTCGATGCTCAAATTATCTGATCAAAAGGTAATTCATAGGATAACCCTTCGTACTTAAATGTATGGATCGAATAAATTGAATATTAGACTTTTTACTTCAGTGCCGCAGTTGTCAGTTTGACATCAAATGCATACCAATTAAACAATCGGTATACAATTATAGGACAAATGAATATTAATGAGGTCGCAAGGGCCAAATGGACAGAAACTACTGAATAGTTGCCAAGAAAGGGGATATTGTTTACATCCTTAGATTTACTGCTAAATTATCATACAGTATTAAAATTTTTTAGCATCGGTGGCAATAAACATGTTTTAAGCGGGGATCATATGGACCTCATAATTTGTACTGAAGCCACAATCATTAGTTCAATTTGAGTCGATATGCAAATGGATGAAGGAGTCCATAAATATTACATTTAAAAATCATTATGTGATTTCCTTCCCGATTGATAACGTTGTTAATTGGGATAAAGCTTATTAGTTTTTGTTTGCCATTGTACCTGACAACCTTACCTACATTTGCTTGTCACAAACTGTGACGATGAGCTACCTTGATTTTGTCAAATCGCTATGGTAATATTTTCTTTTATGCTCCTTGCAGATTCAGACGTCACTGTATCGGTTCGGTTTGTGTAGGGTTTTTCAGAGTCAGTCTGCATTCAGCCCACCTCAAACCCGGTCAACTGTGATCGCCAAAATCGAGGATCATTGTTCCTGTGTCCAATTTAATACATTGTTACAAGTAGTTTAAAACTGTTACACCACAAAATGAAGTCATACAGCGAGTTTGCCTCCAGTAGATCATGGGGTAAGTCTTAAGTTTTATAGTATGGGATATCACTATGTAAAAGAAAATCTGATTGTATAATACATACTAGTATAACCAGCAGAGGGTTTTGTTTGATACTTCTGGATAAGTAGTTTCGGATTTCTTTAGAAAATATAGAGTTTTCTGTGTGATAGATGTGATTCTTGAATTAAATACCCTACATTACGCAATACGTATTCAAATAATGTTGGCATACGTTCTGTCTATCTTAACTTCACTGTCAAAATTGACCTCTCTGTGAGAACAAGATAAACATATAAAACATGATTTTTTGTGATTGTCAATATCATTTTTAACTCTTTGAAGTAAACTTGATTTCAATGGGAGACAAAGCAGTATATTAATGTTTCTTAAGTATGAATAACCTGTTTGCAAGCCCCCCCCCCCCCCCCCCCCGATAACTTATCTTGATTTATGGTTTATAGGAGAGCTTCAAAATTTTAAAAAATAGTTATACAAAAAAGTAGAGAAATTATAATTTCTCTTATGCAAATCTTCATAGATTCGAGGGAAATGGAGTGTAAACTTTTTTTTCATGAAAAATGACATTGACGAGGAAAAAAAACTATCGTTCTGCTTGTCTTTATATACTCAACACACATACAAGTTTTAAGACAAATAGTTCCCTGTAGCTTTTTCCCTTGCCTGATTATACCATACAATATTAATAAATGCAAAAAAGATTTTTTTTTCCTTTCGGGTACTACTTGAAAAAAGACGTAATGGTTTTCGTCCAAAATATAAGCGATTTTGAAACCTCTTAGTTTGTTTTTTTAATTTTCCCTACACAGCCACTTGATCAAAAGAACTAACATATATGTTTATCTTTTAGACAGATTTTTTTTGGATGGATCTCTTTTCAGAAAGGTTCACTTTTTCTCATAAACAGATTATATATACATCGTTTATACCGAGATAGATATCACACATAAAAGTAAGAAATCTCCATAAATCTTCAGACCGTCATGAATCAGCAACTTGAACAGAAGTGTATACTTTGAATAAAAAATTTTAAATTCATCATTTTTTTTAAATACAAATTTGTATAGTTTTACCTACCGTAAAAGTTAGTGTAACCCTGGATTCGTATCCAGGGGACAAATTCTTGTCCTAATATTGTTACGAGTTATAAAATTGTTTTTCATTAAAAAAAAAATTCTGTTTACCTTGGTTATGCCATTTGTAACACGTGTATCTGTGCGATATAATTGTAAAAATAAGTCTAAACGTTTCGAAAATAAAACCATTTTAAATGAAATTGGAGTAGAAATCCAAGATGTACAGAAAGTTTGGAAACATATTCCCTAGACCTACCAAGAACATTTAATCTTGAAAAAAGAAATAAAGATGAAATAAAGACTACATACGGATATATTCGATTTATAATGATCTAGGTATAGAATTCTAGAGAGGATACGTTTTTCAATGGTGTGTGAGAACTGAAGCTTACACAATCGGATTAGCGTCCTTTAAATGATCAGCATTATCAATCTACACAAAAATACGTGAGTCAAGAACTTAACCCCGAAAAGATTTAACATGGCCTTAATAAAAGAATTGGACCAGCATTAAAATAAATCCTTGTTTACAAGAATGTCCACTTCGCCTTTAAATCATTAATAAATTCGAGCGGATTCGAAGAACGGCTTAATGCTGTGCATGATTGAATAAATAAATATCTAAAGTACAATAATACTATATGGTACATATATAATTCAGAGTATTTGTAAGTCAGAATACCCATACAATAAAATCTAATTGAAGTTAAACCACACCTTGTGATTTTTCAGTTCTCAATACAAGTATCTCGAAAAAAAATCCCTGTACTTAAATTTGATAACTAGAATTATATTTAACGTGTATGTATTTTTTAAAGTTGGAAGTGTTCTGTTTGTTCATTATGTATCGCATTGACCAAAGAATACGAGGTCCAGTTTTTCTTTAAATAGTTTTTTTTTTTTTTGAAAGTCTTGAAATTATAATACGTTGCATATGAATTAAATTTATTCTTTTGTTTAATGTAACAATGAAAACTACAACGTTAGAAGCATATGTAATTTCCTTAATACAGAATAACAGGAAAAAGAGAAAATTAATTCAACTAGTCTTTTTCCTCATTAGGAAAGTGTCAAATTAATTCAGGCCCTGGGTTAGCACAAACAAGTTATAATTATTTAATTCACTTGATCTACCGATCCCTTTGGTGATTATTAAGTTCAAGGTAATTAGAACTGTCTAAAACTCCCGACATTTCCAGTTTTTCATCTAAATATATTAACGTTTCAATTACATTGATAAAAAATGACTCTATACAAATCACAAGCTGCTAAAAACGAAATGATAAATCACTGCCTTTAAATTATGTCACTCTTAGAGAATCAAAACATTTTTGGAACATATGTTGAACTTTTGATAAAATTTAAGGTATAAACGATAGCTATTAAAATTTTATCCAATTATTGATTTAAAGATGGTTCATAAGGACGAGTAATCAATGAACATTTAATCATGCAATCTATTCTAGTACTATATTACACTATTTGCAGTGTATAGACAGTACATTCCTAACATAAGAGAATTACATGTACATGCTATGTAGCCGGACGAAGCTGTAGTCACGACGTACTTCCTCAAACATTGCTGATGAGTATTGTCACAGGAAACCATGTTATGGTCAATTTCAAAGAATAGGATAAATTTAACCACACTTTTAAAATTTTGCCCAATACATTTGTAAGCAAACGTTGACTCAGTCATTGGAACATAATATACAGGTGTCACTGCAGACGATATTAATTGGTCTAATTTATGAAAACATGCACATGTATGTGCCAGGTATTTACTAATTTTAAAATATGCATACATTTCAATGTACAACGTATATATGTCTTTGTCTTATGAATGCATTTATTTGTACCAATCTGGTAATTTTCTTTCTTTTTCAAAGAATCAGGAATGTATGTTATGAGAGAAGGAATATTCGGCCTTGAACTTTGAAGACCTTTAACTATTTTGCTCTTCTTCATACTGACACGATGACATCGGATAATACAACATCATACAGTTATCTGACATTGGCGGATCACGGGGCCACGTCCATGACAGAACTCTACATAGAGGGAGTCATTCTGCTGATAATATGTCTAGTGGCTCTCGTTGGAAATATTTCAGTTTATCTCATTGTTCTAAGATCCAAGAAACTAAGAACGATTACAAATTTCTTCATACTTGGATTAGCAGCAGCGGACATTTTAGTTTCAATTGGAAACATGCCCGTCACCGTGGCAACCTTGTTTGAAGGGAACTGGCCCCTGGACCATACTTCCTGTCTTGTGTTTGGATTTATTAACATGCTGACACTATGCTCCAGTGTACTTTCATTGTGTAATATCAGCATTAACCGCTATGTTATGATTTGCCGTCCATTCCATTCCAAAGTTATATATACCAAAAGGAACGCTATTCTAATGATCATAGGTAAGAATAGTTATCAAAAACAATATAGCTTATAAATCGTGCCTAAGTGAGTACCTTAACACCAAGATCTATGTAGAGTGGCTTTGTCTGTCTGTTATCAGAGGACAATTCGTTGATGGGTGGAGATACATGTAAAGCCAATTTGATTCTTTAGTAGAGAGTTTGCAATACTGCAATTACAATAAATACTTCATGTTTTTTTTGTAAAATTGTCAATGTAACTTGTATCTCTTTGTTTGTTTAACTTAACAAGCTTAATAATTCCATAAGTACAAACTTTCCTTAATCTTCAACTTGTGAACCCATGTTGATTTTTTAAATATATATTTCAAGCAACATTTGCCTGAATCCAGATACGCTTAACCTTAAAGCACTCGTTCATTCTATCAATGAACTAACACAAATACAAAAAACATAAAAGGTAGTATGGAAAAGTTATTAATTTTCCTTTCTATTAATTAAGATAAATACAATGCTGTCAATAAATTAGTGATATATTGGCATCTATTAGCACATTGCAGACGAAATATCACGAAAGTAATTGTTGCCCAACAGCTTCGTTAGAAGTGTGAAACAGAAAGGACCGCATAATCATGTCACTCTCGGGAATTCATTACGGATAACAAAAGTTTACAGCTTTGCCTATTGATATGATATGGACTGGGAATACAGCTAGATCAGAGACTTGTTCTGACAGAAGTATAAATGTCAAGCACAGTCGAAACATTTAACTTTTTACATATATAATACATGTAGTATTGTATACTGGGACATTTTCATTCTTTTTCACCCCAGATCCTTTATGACAGAATATAAAACTTTAAACCCCAGAGGGAACATACTGTAATTCTTAGGCAGCCAAAAAGTTCTGTGCGATTTCAATACTGAACCAAAAATATGTTCTTATATGCATCTAGACAAAAAATTCCAGATTAATATATTGCTTACATGTAGTATATACATGTATATATTTAGGGTAAGGGTCATTATCTTAAAATTCCAAAAAAAAAAAATAAATAAATAAATCGAAACAAACGTAAATAGAATATTCCTATATTTTCACTTAATATGCATGTATTGTGTTTTTAAAATGTATTTACACAGAGAAATATACACCCCAGTCGCATATGACCTGCAGTTGTTCACTGTCAGATGCAATCAAATCCTTTTGTGAATCCCTCACACTTGATTAAACAGAGAGAAGACCTCGATGTATCCCCTTACTTATTTCATTGTTTGTTACTTCCAAAATCAAAAGACTTCCAAATATCTCTTACTAGTTTGTATGAGTTCCAAACAATGTTAAAGGCGTCCGACATCCAAGGCTGCAGACTGGTCTTTATGTATATCTTGATGACTATTATGACACCAAGCTTTTGAGAAAAATTATTCAGGCGATCGGAGGAACTGAGACATGCTTATAGGGACCCAAATGCTTTCCCATCTTAGTTGCTATGATTTAACCTGCGATATTGAGAGCGTGCTAAGCTAAATCTTAATATTCAAGAATAATGCCCAAAAGAATTTTGTATTTAAATTTTTAAAAATGTCTTAGTCTTTATGGCAAATACCAATACTACATGTATTTGTGGTAATTATTATTATTTTTTTCGCAGTAATGTCATTATGTTGGTTACCCATTACCCAAAATTGCATCCTTCAAATGATATTGTTCTCTAATTTCAGGAGTTTACACGTTAGCTTTCGTGATATCATTACCTCCCCTGTTTGGTTGGGCAGCGTATGCATACATTCCTGTACAATCGTTCTGCTTCTGCGACTGGACACTGGCGCCATCGTACGCCATCTTTATGATCAGCTGTTGTTTTGGAGGACCATTTACTGTTATGACAGTGTGCAATATTCTGATATTTTGCAGTGCTAAGAAATCCAATAGAAACACCAAATATTACACCACAGCAAAAAGCAAGAAAAAAGACGCCCAGGCCAAAGAGCTCCGTCTGGCGAGCATTCTGCTTGTTGTCGTCATTGTTTTCGTCATTTGCTGGTGCCCTTACTGTATCAGTATGTTGTTGTCTATATACGCCCCTGGATTCGCTCCTAGAGGATTTCACATGTTCACCATCCTCGTGGGATACGCCAATAGCGGTGCCAACCCAATTATTTACGGAGTTATGAATCGCGCCTTTAGAAACGGATTCAAACAGTTGTACTGTGGATGGATGGGTGTGCAAATAGATGAGTCCACGGGAATAGCAAGTAACTCCGACGAACCTTCCGGAATTCCCCGAAATCCAACAAGTGACTCTAAACTCTCGGCGGGAGAAGAATTGGTGAACAAAAGTTAAGCTTTACTTACATCAATATACGATAGGATATTGACACTACGTGTAACACGGAACTTGCAATGAGTATCAATATCCAATTGATCATATTTGTATCTTCTAGACTTTATTTAGTTTCTTGATACAAGAATGGAAGAAGGAGGGGTATGTAAAGGAGCTGGGAACAGTCAATCATAATATTTAAAATTGTGCATTTATTTATTTCGTATGCCGTGTTTTCTTCTAAAGTCATGTGATAACTACGTGGTTGTAAAAGTATATATTTGTTGTTTTTTTTAATTAAATTTATAACATGTTTTTTCTGGATATTTTATTTTATTATTCACATTTTAAGTGACTGTTTATCTGCGATAAGAGGTTCATTGGACTTGTAAACAATCACTCGGGTATCATGAGTACCTTTGTTGTTACTAATTCCCTAATATGAGTTTTTAAATTGATTTTTGGTCCGCATCTTATTAGTATCACATAATTTCGATTGAGAGAAAGTTTGGCACACAAAAGTATTTGTCTCTAAGTAAAAGTTTATAATAATCCAAATTGCAACCTTAAATTTCCTTCGAGAAGTGAGGAAATAAAGTTCTAAAACGCCGTTCTGCGACGTCAACAACTAGTTACAAATACATGGATTTAAACGTAATATATTGGAGATAACAAACAGTATTCAAGCTCAAAAGTCCATTAAACAATACACATTTTGGAGCAAAGCAAACACGGACCTCAAAAACATCAGAGTGGGATCAGGTGCCATGGAGGAGTGAGCATCCCCTGACGACCGATCACACCCGCCGTGTTCTCCTTGTCATGATCAGGAAATAACGGAAAAGTCCGTCGGCAATTCAGTGTGTGTAAATAATGGCCTAACAATTAGTATGAAAAACGTCAGTCAGCATTTGACTAAATGATAAACTGTATTTGCTGACAAGGTCAATGTATAGACCATAGAACTTACGAAATGACGACTTTAAACGAGACTGCTGATATTCTTGTTTCATCGACTTGTTTGTCAATAACTTACCTCGTTTTAGAAATGGTTCAAACGTAGATCATGCTCTTGCGTATCGAATCAACTGAGAGATATAAACCCTGTATGCAGGTGATGAAGGTATATTGCTGCATAAGTAAGGAAAGTTGACGATTGAAAAGTTAAAGTCAGCACGTTTATCATAAAGCTTGGTTGTTAGATTACCATTAACGTCTTTGTTCTAGCAAAATATCCAAATATGAAACAGATGTGTCAGACTCTGTGGTATCTTTTATTTCAAGCTCACTGAGATACTAGTATATCGTATCGACATAAGAATGGAAATAACCATTGTTAATTGACAATACGTCGTCGATATACTATTATCTAAATGTCGAATTGAAGGCCATAGCAAGTATTTTCTTCTTTTCACGTATAAGATTTTGAACAAATTCTGCTTCATATGAATACAGAAATAGGTATGCTAATAACGTGTGGATGATTAAAACACCGTTTGCAGAAATAGATTCCGAAATATGTAGAATTTTAAAAATCCCCTTTACGTTTCTTTACGGCCCAACAGTGCCGCTACTTTATTACTCGCCAATATTCCTTCTGAACAACGGACATAGTCCAAAAATCAGTTTTTATAAGTTATGACTAAAATCTACTTGGTTATAAAATCATAAATCCCGTAAGGGGGGTGGGTAGGGCGGGGCAACAATGGGCGAACAAATTTTTACATAGGAATATATAGAAAAATTCTTTAAAAATCTTGTCAAGAACAGCATAGCCATGTTAGTCATATTTATATGAAAAAGCCGTATGTGCTTTTTAGATATGAGCCCCATCCACCCTCCGTGATATATACATATATAGGTACACAAACTGGCCCAATGGATTTTTATACATTTTGATTATGAATCATTTATTCTTCTGGCACATTAATAAATGTGTTCAATATTAAAAAAAATAAAATTAGAAATTTCATACTCACAGGCTCATAAAAAATGATAACGCGACTATGATTTTCTCCTTGAACTTTATTCTACCTTGTGGGCATAAGCGTAATGCAACGCAGATTAGTCATCGATCATTTCACGAGCTGACAAATCACAAATCTACAAATTACAAGCTTGTTCAATGACATAGCTTTCTTTTACATTTTGCACATGATAGTTAAAATAAAGAAATACACAACTTACAATCTAGATATTTATGGCATGTCAAACTTTGCAATATTCGATCTTTTGCATTTGCATTGTATAATTTTCCATTTGCATTGTATAATTTTTATTTGTATTCTATAATTTTCTATTTGTATTGTATAATTTTCATTTGTATTGTATAATTTTTATTTGTATTGTATAATTTTCCATTTGCATTGTATAATTTCTTATTTGTATTGTAAAATTTCTTATTTGTATGCGATAATTTTTCATTTGTATTGTATCCGCGGACTTTTTATTTGTTTCGTTACGAAGGATTTCATTGGTCAAGTTTCAGCCTGTATCGGGTTGAAGATGTTCCGGATGCTCAAAGCAAACTGGGCTCATATGTATTTGCTTGATTGATTGATTATTGTTTAACGCCGAGTCGGCAATATTTCAGCCATATTTCGGCGGCATATGTATTTGCGTGCATGTTAGACGGTCACTGGATTCTAAAAAGGGAGCGCTGGTAGATGGCAAATAAATAATCTATCCTTAGGAATGCTGACTGAGAAAATAAATAAATTGACCTTGAGTGGTGGTAACTACCCCCACCCCCAAAAAACTGAGTTTTCGAGTTTGGGCGGATTTTCTTCTTTTTGTTTTTCTCCTTGTCTCTGGTCATATTGGAAATAAATATTCTCTCCTGCGAGAGAATGAAAATAAATAATCGGATTCGACACCCCCCGAGAATCAAATGGTCGTCCCTTAGCATGCACCGCAAATAGAGGAGCCGAGTTTGTGTTTGTAGAGAGTGCGCGATCGGAATTGTGGGAAGGGTACCAGACTAAGTTTGTGATGGGCACCTGAGACCTTTATACAGACTAAATTTTATGACCAATGACATCCTTCGTAACGAAATAAATAAACAATCCTCGGATACAATACAAATGAAAAATTATCGCATACAAATAAGAAATTATACAATACAAATAAGAAATTATACAATGCAAATGGAAAATATAGAATACAAATGAAAAATTATACAATACAAATGATTTTTTTTACAACACAAATGGAAAATATAGAATACAAATAAACATTATACAATCCAAATGGAAAATTATAGAATACAAACAAAAATTATACAATACAAATTGAAAATTATAGAATACAAATGAAAAATTATACAATACAAATGAAAAATTATACAATACAAATAAAAATTATACAATACAAATGGAAAGTTATACAATACAAATGGAAAAGATCGAATATTGCAACGTTTGACATGCCATAGATATAAAGTTAAATACATGTGTTTAAGAAATTACAGAGTTGAACCCTTTGGCTTTCCATAATTTACAGACTCTCGCGCCATTTAGCGTTAATTCAGATTATTACTGTTCTTTTTTGTACGCCACCTAGGGTCAATTTAACGACAATTGTCTTGCATCGGTGATTGTTCGTTTTGCAACAGAGTCAGTTGATTTTGCAATTGAGTCTGTTGATTTTTATTGTTTGTTTTGTATTTCAGTATTTTTTTTTTTTTTTTTTTTTTTTTTTTTACAAATTAATTGTTTGCATTAACGTCTTTCTTTCTTTCTTTCTTTTTTTTTTTTAACCTTTTCCACCGCCCTTTATTTAACATAAATATATATAATAAAATAAAATTAATTCATTATTCATTTTAGCTTTCAGTGTTGGGAAATCATATTTCTGTTTCATTGTCAGATTTTGATAAGGCCAAATAAAAAAAATATGTGTGGTTCCGGTTACCCGACCTTCCCTATTTTATACCCCCGACCCTAAACTTTTTTTTTTTGGCAATTTTCATATTTTTTCCGGAATTTCCCCCGATTTCCATCAATGGATCCAGTTTAAGTTTTAGTTTCAGCAATGACGGCCTCCTTGCAAAACATAGTGCAAGTGTTTAATAGTGTTAAATCCAAAGCAAACTAGCGTGTAGGTGTCCCCTACCAATATTGACTAGTATATTATCACACCACATCTAAATGCCATTTGCAAAGCAGTGATAGGTATTATTAAGAAAAAATTAAGAAAATCATTTTGTTAAAAAAAAAAAAATCCCTACCTACCTACCCTAATTTTTTTGGAAGTGTAACCGGAACCACACATATTTTTTTGTTTGGCCTAAATGCTATTCTATCCACATGTATAGCTGATCATCTTTAGATTAACTTTAATATTTAATGATGCTAAAAGCAGGCGACACAATGCGTTCCTTGGAACACTCTAGTTAATGAATTTAACTGTCCAACATTATATTGGTTAACCCTTTTAGTCCTAATGAAGCCTGGATTAAAATGGGACAGAGTACTATAAAGTTCACAGTGTATTTGTATCCTTTTTTAATCCAGAATAAAATATTTTAGAAAGCTTGAACAGTACAGACTGAGGCCGTGTCGCCCAGTGCATGGTTAGAGCGTTTGCTCAAGAGTCTCGAAATAAAGTCCCGGGTTCAAATCCACTGTGTGACGCAGAGACCGGTCTTTTGGATGAGACCATATATATCGAGGTCACGTGTCGCATTAGGTGCTGGCCGAAAAAGATCCCTCACTGTTCAAAGGCCGTAAGTGTCGAGTACAAGTCTAAATTTGCAACCCTCCACCTGCAAGTAGAGGCGTCTCAATATGAATTAAAAAAATTCTCGAAGGGACGTTAAACAAACAGACTGAGGGCACTTCGTGGGAATTTCGAAAAGCATTCCTTAGATCATTCAGTATATGATACCCGATCACTGGCAATCAAGTGATGAATACCCAATTTTATCAATAACATTTTCTAGTGTGAAATGTATATCGAAACGACAAAAAATCAGGCTCCAGGACATACTGTGATCATAGATTATTTTGTTTAATATAAACTTAAAATCCTTCTCAATGCAAACTTTTTAAAGTTTGATCGATGTTTGTTGATACTGATATTTTTATGCCCCGTATCGAAGATTCGGGGGATATAGTTTTAAATTTGCCCTGTACGTCCGTCCGTCTGTCTGTTTGTCCGCAACCTTGGCCATAACTTTTGATTGATTTAGAGTTAATCACTTGTGTTGCGACAACAAGTCTTATGATTTTTTGAGTGACAAATTTTACCATTTCCTTTGAGTTAGAATTTGGGTTGAGACTAAATTAATGATTTGAACTCTTTATAATTTAAGATTTCATTCTAAATTTGAACAATTCTTGAGTCGGAAACACTCATGATTCAATTAAGGACAGACGATTCGTTCCTCAATAATATATAATTTTTTTTCTCTAAGATTTTGTCATTGAAGTATTGCAACTTTAATATGTTTACTCGCAAAAAATTAAGGTACCTTACAAGATATTTGTGCAAGATACCAGAGGATGGTGTTTCCTTTATAATCATTTGGAAAAAACTTAAACTGCCAATATCACATTTTTTAGTGTTTCAATTTTTAAAGGCAATTAGAAACCAGTTTAGAAATCAGAAAGTATTTAAAATTTTGAATATTTTTCATACAATACGAAGATATACAAAACAGATATTTAAGGAACATATCGTCTGACCTTAAAAAATCAGTTGACTCATATAAACTTTTAGCCAAAATATTGTCGATATGATTTTAGCATTTAAGATAAAATAGGGAAATCCTACTCTAAGAAGGAAAGAGAGGGGAAATTTGGCTCTAGTGTGAGATTTCCCCTCGGGGAGGGAGTCCTACTCTAGATTGCAGATTCCGGGGGGAAGGCTGGCTATGGGGGAAATCCTACTCTACAACTCCTGTAATCCTTTCTAACCTATTTTTCACAAAATGTTGAATGAAAGAAAAAAGATAATGTGGTGTTTAATTTCTTTAGCGGATGTATATAAGTTGGGTACCCTTCCGAGTGGCTCACACAGCGCGCAAACTGTGTGATGGCCAAGAAAGACCCATGGGCCACAACACTCACCCGAGTAACCGCGGACTTGCTATTATTCGTAAGATTTTCCAACATTCATTTCCATAAAAATTTTGACCTCATTGTTACCCCCATCCTAGCTCCAAAGCGTCATGACTTCACCAAACTTGAATCAACACAACATGGAGGTTCTTCAGTATCAGTATGACTAACATGGCCTTGCTTTCTGGAGAAAAGATTTTTTCCTGCATATACGAGTATGTACAAGATTTATGTAGAATTTGACCAATGATGTTAGCTCCACCTTAATACCAAGGTCGATAATTTGAACACCTGAGTATTATAAGTTTCTATAGCTTTGGCTCCATCTAGCTCCGGGCCTAAAAAAAACTTAGATGAGCTTTCTTTCTGATCTCAGTCTCACTTTTGTAAAAGGAATAAATAGTGGGAAAATATTTGACCAACTTAGCCCACCATGGCATGACCCCTGGACCCAGGAGGCATCGACTTTTTATTTATGTACAGGGCCAGGTGCTCTTTATAATCATACAAAAAATTGAAATCAGAGAGCTACAGTTCTACAGCTGTTTGAATCCCCAATTGACATTAGCCTAGGGGGTCACTAAAACCAAACTTGAATCTGCATTATAACAGGATCCTTGCATATCAATATGACTTATCAATGCCCAGTGGTTCTTGGAAAGAAGATATTTACAAAATGTTTTCTTACTATAAGCATGTAAAATTTCAATCCCTTATACATGTAATGGCCCCAATTCATATTTTAGAAAATTTCCCCCGATTTCCACCATTTTGATCTCCAAGAGGAGCGTGTGGTCCTTCATTTGAACAAAGCTGAATTCCCTTCCCCCAATTCATGTTTTATGTCAATTTTGATTGAAATTGGCCTAGTGCTTCTAAAGAATTTGAAAATGTGAAAAGTTTACAGACATAGACACAGACGGATGTTTGCCAAACAACGGGTGATCAGAAAAGCACTTGAGCTTATAGCTAAGGTGAGCTAAAAACAAATCGGTTACATCTTTGGCTTGAAGTAGGATTTTTTAGACGGTACAGATATATGGGGCTGGCATTTTTTTTGGTCAGATTATTTACTTTCATACCAATGAAGGACAGATTACTTATTTCAAAGATAATAAGGGACATTATATACCCCCTACTTGAAAGGGGGATATAGAGTAATGGGGTGTCCGTTCTTCCGTCCGTAAAGCCTGGAGGTATCCATCCTTTATCCGCAACTCCTCCTATACCACTGCATAAATTCTAATGTGTCTTTTATAGAATGTTAATCATTTAGTGTCATTGTACACCTCCTATTTTATGTCTCGATCTGGCATAAATTGGTACGTGATGATGTCTGGTAGTAAATTTTATACCTGGTGAGGCGAAGCCAGATTTTAGTCAGTGCAATAGGAGGAGTTGCAGATAAGTGATGGGTACTCCAATATCATGGAAAGAATGGCAGTATCCAGGTTTTTTTATGGGAAGTGCCAAATATGTGCCAGAACAAAAAATAAAAGAGGTGCACAATGGCATTATATTAGATTGATTGATTGTATGTTGTTTAACGTCCCTCTCGAGAATTTTTCACTCATATGGAGACGCCACCATTTGCCGGTGGAGAGCTGCAAATTTTGTCCTATACTCGGCACTTACGGCCATTGAGCAGTGAGGGATCTTTTTCGTGCCAGCACCTACTGCGACACGGGACCTCGGTTTATACGGTCTCATCCGAAGGACCGGTCTCCACGTCCCACAGTGGGATTCGAACCCGCGACGTAAGGATCAACTCCTTACTTCGCGACTCTAGAGCAGACGCTCTAACCACTGCGCCACGCGGGCGACTGGCACTATATTAGAAACATTCTGTGAAAGTCACATTAGATTTTTATCAGTTCTATAGGAGGAGTTGTGGATAGGAGATGGGTGCCTCCAATATCATAGAAAGAATGGCAGTGTCCATGTTTTGCTATGGGAAACCCAAAATATCTGTCCGATCAGAACGAAAAATGAGAGGTGCACAATAGCACTTTGTAATAAAGATTCATTAAATTAATAAATTTCATTCAGTGGTATAGGAGTTGCGGATAAGAGAAGGGTACCTTCATCACTATATACCCCTCTAGTTAGTAGAATATGCCAGGGCATCAACGATAGTTTCCAACTATCGTTGATGTCCCTGACATACTCTACTAACTAGGCAGTGATTCCTTATATTTCCATTTCATTGTGGAATAAATTGTAAATTTAGATTTTAAAAATGTAGACTAAAAGATTTAAATTACACGAGGCCTCACATGTCAATTTCAATAGTCCCCGCCCACTGACGTCAAACACAAAGACAGCCGCACGAGATTTACATGCATATTAGGCCTCCTTAGCGTCAGACACAAAGACTGCCGCTCGAAAATTACATGCATATTAGGCCTTCTTAGCTCCTGACCTTTAGCTTAGCGAAATTTACATTCCGGTAGAATGATCAAGAAATCAACTCAACTAACTTTCAAAGAGATATCACAGAGAAAACAAATAGAAATGGAAATATTTTTGAAATTAAAAACAAACACAAATATGAACAGTTTATTTTTGTGTTAGAACCTTGATAAATACATCTTTTGGCACTTGTATGTTTCCCAGACTCCTCAGCTTCTTTTTGCCCTCGGCCTGTTTAGCTAGCAGTTTATTTCTCCTTGTCACATCACCTCCATACTATACAATATAATAATTTGGTTTACATAACAATTTTTTCTGTCATAAACACACGAAAAACAAACAACTGAAAAAAACCCCTAAACTCTAACATTCTAACCTCTATGACTGTGTTTCAAATGCAGAATATGAAAATCTATTTTCTAATATCATAAATATACATTTATCTGACAAAGGACATTTGCTTTAACAAACTTAGGAAAATCACTCCAGCTGCACACACTCACCAATTTTGCAGTAACATCCTTTCTATATGGGTTCACCACTTCAGTACAGATATGCTTATTGTTCACTTGACCTTTGATCTGAACTTTATATTGTTGCCTAGGAACTGCTTCCTGTAGACGAGCGCAGATTTTCCGACACATTTTTTGGGCATTAGAGGAATGGCACAGGAGGGTCATCTCTTCTACGTCAACATTGTTAATATTAAAACTAACCTGAAGATAAAATACTATTTGTATTTATTTTTATTTTCACCATATCAGTACCAACACTATTTATTTCCTATGATGAATTTTTTTTTTTTTACAGAATGCCATTATTTTATACCTTGCTCAAATTAGTTTCTTCATACCCATAGTCCTCATAATCAAAACTAAAACAGTAGAGGAAATTTCAGTTAAATACAAGTACAGTTAAAACTGTCTAATCTGACATGCACTGGAAGACAAATATGTGTCGGAATATAGACAGAGTATCTGATTGCACAGTGTACAGAACAAAGAAAACAGTAAAAGGGGGCAATGGAAATAAAGGTCAAAATTCACAGTGAAAGGTTACACAGGTTCTAGTATTAGTTTATACTACATGTACTATATATACAAACTTATTCTAGATCTGTGCAACATATGCATGTTCTGGTATTTACTTAACCTAGAATACCTATTTGAAATAATCAAATGAATTCTACTTTACTTTTGAGAATTATATTTTTCATGATTAATTGAAATATACTGGAATATTTGTTACTTACCTAGCATATCCTTTTGTTACAGACTTTAATTCATCAAAGAAGTTAATGAGAATCTCATTAAGAGGAAATATAACTTTGAGCATGACTCGAGAATTGTCTAAATAAGTCTGGTCTTCTGTCCGACCTCTTCTGTCCTACACAGATAAAACACAGTATACACTCAATCTATTATATAGCCTCAATACACAGCATATATAATAAACACTGGGAAAAAAAATTCAAAAATGAAATAGATCTCTGTACCGATATTAATGCCTGGACTTCTCCAATGTAAACATCAGGATAAACTATAGTGGCTCGCACCATTGGTTCAAAGTACTGAGAAATAATTGTTTGATCTGGAAGCTAAAAATATTAACAGAGCACAACAATGAACACAGAAATCTGATTTAAATATGTAAACTGAAGTACAGGTAAACTTCGTTATCTCGACATCGACGGGACCATCGGAAAATGTCGAGATATCCGAGGTGTCGAGATATCAGAGTTGAGACTTGACGTCCAAGATTTCACTGCATAACCAAACACATACATGTGTATAAGCTTATTATACGTACTAAAAATCTCCAATATACATACCTTGCATGGATTGAGGACCACAACTTCTTCACCTTTATATTTCTTTATATTTTTAGCACCTATTATACGAACTAAAAAGAAAACATAATGCTAGATACATAATACATAGGTTAAATTCATTCAACTTTTTGCAAAATTTTCTTGTATCAATGCAATCAATGCAATCCTTAGAAATATTTTCATACTAGACGACAGCTGTTTATTTACCTTTGTAAGGTACATGTATGTTTGGAGCTGTTTATTTACCTTTGTAAGGTATGTTTAGAGCTGTTTATTTACCTTTGTAAGGTATGTTTGGAGCTGTTTATTTACCTTTGTAAGGTATGTTTAGAGCTGTGACTTACCTTTGTAAAGTATGTTTGGAGCTGTTTATTTACCTTTGTAAGGTGTGTTTGGAGTTGTTTATTTACCTTTGTAAGGTATGTTTAGAGCTGTTTATTTACCTTTGTAAGGTATGTTTGGAGCTGTTTATTTACCTTTGAAAGGTGTGATTGGAGCTGTTTATTTACCTTTGTAAGGTATGTTAAGAGCTGTTTATTTACCTTTGTAAGGTATGTTTGGAGCTGTTTATTTACCTTTGTAAGGTATATTAGGAGCTGTTTATTTACCTTTGTAAGGTATATTTGGAGCTGTTTATTTACCTTTGTGAGGTGTGTTTGGGAGCTGTTTATTTACCTTTTTAAGGTGTGTTTAGAGCTGTTTATTTACCTTTGTAAAGTATGTTTGGAGCTGTTTATTTACCTTTGTAAGGTATATTTGGAGCTGTTTATTTACCTTTGTAAGGTATGTTTAAAGCTGTTTATTTACCTTTGTAAGATATGTTTGGAGCTGTTTATTTACCTTTTTAAGGTGCACGTGAGTTTGGAGCTGTTTATTTACCTTTGTAAGGTATGTTTGGAGCTGATATTTACCTTTGTAAGGTGAGTTTGGAGCTGTTTTTTTTACCTTTGTAAGGTATATTTGGAGCTGTTTATTTACCTTTGCAAGGTATGTTTGGAGCTGTTTATTTACCTTTGTAAGGTGAGTTTGGAGCTGTTATTTACCTTTGTAAGGTATGTTTGGAGCTGTTTATTTACCTTTGTAAGGTGAGTTTGGAGCTGTTATTTACCTTTGTAAGGTATGTTTGGAGCTGTTTATTTACCTTTGTAAGGTATATTTGGAGCTGTTATTATAACACTAGCATCAAACTCCTGTTCCAGCCTCATTTTGAACACATCCATATGAAGGAGGCCTAAAAACCCAAGGCGCCATCCCACCCCAAGGGCAGCACTGCACAAAATAAAAAGAAAGGGAATGGTTTTGATTAATTATGTTCAATATAAAATATATTTAATATTCACTAGCTTTTAAAAAGAATAAGCAAATACAAAACTTCCTTTTTGAATACAGTACCTAGAGTCCTGGGCCACACTGACACTGGAATCATTAAATGTGAGCTTAGTGATGGATTCCCGTAACTTTATGTATTGTGACTGATCTATTGGATAAATTCCTGCAAATACCTGAAACAAATCAATCTCAATTACAATCACCTCATATCATAAGAAACCTTTCATAAATCAAGATTAATTAAATGTATGCACTGATCGATCAATTATGTTTCAAAATTGTCAGATAAATACGTATTACATTATAAAGATCATCTCTACATTGTTGGGAAAAAGTAGCACAAAAATTATTTTTTAAAACAAGCTTGACACTTAAATACAATCATGCCTCATTAATCCCGATGCTTTAGTTCTTGAGCAAATCACCTTGACTAATGAAGTATCTAGATTACAGATATATACTTTTTATAATTGGTGGATATAAATGTCGTTCACCACAAATTTCATACAGAGTGGGCAGGGTCTGGTTTATTGGCGTTCAGATTACTGACACCAGAGTTTCCGAAAACCAATTATTTCTATCAGTCATTCGGACTGATGACTTTATGTTTTCTACCAGTCCGAAGCGAATTCTATCAGTCCGAACAAATTTTAGTATATTTCATGTTGTAATTAAAAAGAAAATGGCATTGGTTTATAGTACTCAAAGTGAGTGTGTAAACCTTTCCGCGGATCATTACAACACCGATTGTGAGACCAAGGGTATGCAATTAAAAAGTTCAAGCACTAGCCCACGGGCGAATGGCAGCAATAAAGTCACTAGCCCCAAGTAAAATGTTGCTAACCGAAAGGGGTGTGTGTGTGTGTGGGGGGGGGGGGGGTGACAACTAATGTGAAAAAAATAGTTTATTGTTGAAAAAGTTAGGGTCTTAAGGTCATCCTTTTTAAAATCAAAAGCATGCTGCCTGGAATTTTTTTCATTTATTGGGAATTTAATAGCAAAGAATGAGTGAAAATACCAGTAGTGCTTGTCATGTATCACATTGGTAGTTTCACGTTTAATAGCCCAAGGGGCTATCTTCGTGCAGAAAACTACTAGCCCGACCCCAAAAAATGGTAGCCCTTGGTGTCGAGCGATCCTGGAGACATCGCAATAGAGATCAGAGTACAATTAGTTTAGAATAATCTAACTGTGTCTCAAGACAACAATCGGTCACGCGGACCGGTAGTATAGCCCATTGCATCGGACATTTCGATTTTCTATCGGTTTTGCCGGTAGGACCGATGGTTTTCGGAAACTCTGTGACACTTTACTGTATTTGGTTCACCTACCATAGGTTTAGCTGGCCTGAAACCTGGGAGTGGATCTACAGGAGTGGATTTATGATACATTGTGTCACCAACAAGTGTTCCTGTGCTACTTTTTACATTGGCAATCACATAACCGGCCTGTCCTGCTAACCTACATAAAAAAATCATCACATAACCAACCTGTCCTGCTAACCTACATAAATAAACAACATGAGGCCCAAGTGCATTGAATACCTGATAAATTGTACAACCTATCACTTCTATTTGAAGCCTATAAGTATCCTGTATAGCTGTATAGTTAGATAAATCCTTGAAATTCCAAAAGTAGGTCATCATGACCTACATTTTGGTTAAAACACTCTGAGAACCCAGGATGGATCAACTGACAAAGTGTGATGATTCAAAGCGACTTATTATCTTAAATATTCAGAGATAGCCATGAGATTATGAGATTCCAAAAGTAGGTCATAGTGATAAACATTACAGTGGTAAACATACATGTAGACCCCAAAATGCCTCAACTGACTAAGTTTGATGATTTTAAGACTCTTATTATTTTAGATATTGCCTTGAAATTCCAAAAGTAGGACACTGTGACCTACTTTTTAGTATACACATTCTGAGGACCCATTACACATCAACTGATAAAGTTTGATGATTGTTAGCCAATTAGTATCTGAAATATTTAAATATTGCCACAAAATTTCAAAAGTAGGTCAGAGTGACATACTTTTCAGATGACGTTCTCTGAAGACCCAAAATGCATCAACTGACAAAGTTGGATGATTCTTAGCCAATTAAGACCTGAGATATTTAAATATAGCCATAAAATTTCAAAAGTAGGTAACTGTGACCTACTTTCTGGTTGAAGTTCTCCGAGGACCCAAGATGCATCAATTGACAAAGCTTGATGATTCTCATCCAATTAGTACCTGAGATATTTAAATAGAGTCTTAAAATTTCAAAAGTAGGTCATGGTGACCTATATGTACTTTTTGGTTGACATTCTCCGAAGACCCAAGATGCATCAAATGACAAAGTTTGATGATTCTAAGCCAATAAGAACCTGTGATTTTTATATATATAGCCATAAAATTTCAAAAGTAGGTCACAACCACATTTTGGTTGACATTTTCCCAGGACCCAAAATGCATTAACTGACAAAGATTAATGATTCTAAGCCAATTAGGACCAGAAATATTCACCATGACCTACTTTTGGGTTGATGTTCTCCGAAAACCCAAGATGCATCAACTGACAAAGTTTGATGATTCTAAGCCAGTAAGTACCTGAGATATTTAAATATAGCCATAAAATTTTAAAAGTAGGTCAAGGTGACCTACTATTTAGTTGACAAAAATATTCAAGATTCAAGACCTTGGGCAGACATATGAGAAATTTACCAAAAATTTCCAATCCTAAATCTGAAACAAAATATAAGGTATACCTCACTGCTTCTAGGGCAAATTCAATCTATGAATCTCTACCCAAAGAAAGTGCATACTATTCAGTGAATATATATTCAAGCATAGCAAAATATTAATACCTGTCAGAGATAATATGGGTTTAAATTTCAAGTGATTTTAAAGCATTTACAGTATATTTGTAGGAGTTTGCTCTGGATGAAGAATTCCAACTTCCTGAATGTCAAAGCTTTTCTGAGCATGATGGAATGTTACTTTATCACCTGAAACATAAGCAAGATCAAAACTTTATATCTGCAGAGATATCCACATGGTGGACAGACACATCACATGCCTGCATGTATCAAACTAATTACAATCTCCTCATCATTACAAATTATGTATATCTATACATGAATTACTAGAAGCATAATTATGTTTTTCTTTATCAAGCACTAGGAAGTGAACATGCAAACCCAAAACTTTAAAGGAAGCAAAAATAAGACTGATTTTTTTCCCACCTGTAAAGTAACTTAATCACTAAAGCAAACACATCAAAAATGAATTTGGCTGAAGTATGCAAAGATTTTTTCTACCTTTCATAACAACTCCATCCTTGACTGCTACATTACATATAATTCCTTTAAACTTATCAAACCAAGAGTCATACACTAAAGCCTTAAAGGGCTTTTTCTGATCAGCTGGTGGGCTAAAAAAAACAATTATGCCAAAACAAAAAGATATATAGTCTTGAATGGCATTTTCAAAAAACAGAATGTATAATGAAAATATCTTTTGGTGAAGAAATTAAATGAATAGCTTACGGGGGTATTCTCTTTATCACAGCTTCTAAAACTTCAGCCACGCCAATTCCCAATTTTGCTGAAATCTGAACAAATACAAAAAAGATAAAAAAAATACTCAGAACTCTACCATTTTCAGAAGTAAAACTTGTAGCTAAACAGCTACATGTATGTAGAAACTAGAAATATGTCCATATGACATGAATGCCCCGCCGAGGGTATATGAGTAATGCAACATGAAAATTGGTATTAGTGTATGAAATTTGATGAGAATATCTTGAACAGTTTCTTTAAAATTGAAATTGAAATCTAAAAAGTTTGACATAAATGATAAATTCTCACCAAATTAAGTGCATAAGCTTACATAAATATATCTTAAATGGTTTCTTTAAAATTGAGCAAAATGCAAATTTAAGAAAAATGAGGTCGAGGTCCCAGAAAAGTTCAAGGTCAAACGTTTTTGATGCAGTTGAATAGTTCTCATAAATAATAAATACGTATCAGCATATTAAGTTTGATAAGAATATTTTGAATGGTTTATTTAAAACTGAGCTAAACACTAATTTAAAATAAATGAAGTTAAGGTCAAAGGAAAGGTCAAGGTCAAAAAATGTTGATGCAGTTGAAAAGGTTACATCAGTATGTATTAGCATATGGAATTTGATAAAAAATATTATGAATGGTTTCTTTAAAACTGAGCTAAACACTAATTTAAGAAAACTGAGGTCAAGGTCAAAGGAAAGGTCAGGGTCAAAAAATATTGATGCAGTTGAACAGCTCTCATCAGTATGTATCAGCATATGTTTGACACTAATTTAAGAAAAGTGAGGTGAAGGTCAAAGGAAAGATCAAGGTCAAAGAATGTTGATGCAGTTGATTAGCTCTTATCAGTGTGTATCAGCATATGAAGTTTGATAACACTATCTTGAATGGTATCTTTAAAACTGAGCTAAACACTAATTTAAGAAATGTGAGGTCAAGGTCAAAAGAAAGGTCAAGGTCAAAAAATGTTGATGCAGTTGATTAGCTCTCATCAATATCTATCAGCATATAAAGTTTGATAAAATATCTTGGATGAAACTGAGCTTTGAACAGAACTAAACGCAAAGTGTGACGGAAGGACAGACGGAAGGACAGAAGGACGGAAGGACAGAAGACAAACACTATATGCCCCAGCCATATTCATGGCGGGGCATAAAAAACTAACTGATGATATAAACCAAACCTTTAGAATTTCCTCATCAGTGACAGGATAAAGATTTTGAATTTGTTTAGAAACCACCTCTGGGTTAGCTCCCTTTAAGTCTATTTTGTTTAATACTGGTATGAGTTCTAGTCCTGCTTCTATTGCCAGGTACATGTTGGCCACTGTTTGAGCCTGCACTCCCTATGATAACATAAAAATGGATCAACTCATTGCTGTACATATATTTTACAGGGAAAAAAATTAAGAAACATTTCTTTTTACAACTAACAAGAAAAATGTTCAAAAAACAAAAAAATAAAAACATCAAACACATAAATAAAAAAAGATTTGTTATAAACACAGTTCTAGGTTTGAAGTTCCCAAAAATACTGCAGTTCATGCAGCATATAGAGAATTGATAAAGGAAGATACTGGACAGGGATTGTTACCTGGTTAGCATCTACTAAGAGAATAACTCCTTGGCATGCAGAAAGTGATCTGGAAACCTCGTAGCTGAAATCTACATGACCCTACAGATATTTAAAAAAACATTCCATATCTAAAAAATTGATCAATCATGGAAAAATATCATTGTCTACATAAAATATTAAACATTTCAACTATTTCGATTTCTTTTTTTTATGAAAAAGTATATGGCAACTGTACAAGATTTTGTTTTTGATTAAAAGGTAACTCCTGAGCAGAATTTCATTGATATACAATGTGTGACGGAAATTTATCAAAGAGGAGTGTTTGAAGAGTGACTAGCAGATTACAGTCAGATGTCAATGTACCTTTTTAAAGAAATCCTATTTTTGAGTTACTTTTACGTGCATGTACTTACTGGGGTGTCCACAAGATTGAGGAGGTAGGTGAGACCTTCCACATCATAAAAGAGACTGGCTGACTGAGCCTTGACCGTGATTCCACGCTCCCTCTCCACCTGTAGTTTGTCCAATACCTGCTCATTCTTCTGGTTCTCAGGTATCACACCTAATGTAAAGGGAATACATCACTTAGAATTCGTCTTACTTTGGGTAATTAATAAGTGACTTCATGTAAAAATTTACCTGTGATTTCCAGCATCCTATCTGCCAAGGTACTTTTTCCATGGTCAATGTGAGCAATAATGCAGAAATTTCTTATTCTCTCAGGTGGAAAATCAATTAAAGATATATTCTGCAACAATAATGATGAATTTTGTGGAAAAAAAAGTTTAATTTCACTTTACAAGAGGCCCAAGGGCCTTAACGGTCACCTGAGTATAATACAACAATTTAGAAGTTAAATACACTGATAGATGAAGCTTTGTTGCCCTAAAGCAAGAGAAGTAGGAAGATCAGGATCAACAAAATAATTAGTCTAGTATTCAGTATCAACTCATAAATTAAGTTCTAATTTGTCCCCCACTTAACACTATCATCATGCAGACTATTATTTAACAAACTATTAGTGCTTCTGTTCTATTTTTAAACCCATATTAAAACCCTCTAGTATTGACCTCTCTTATGGTCTTTGAAGAACTTTTAATAAGATAAGTTATTTTTGTCTCATTTTTATTTATCTATTACCTACAGGTCTACCTGATTATCAAAACTAAGAAAGTACTTTTTTAATTATACGATAAACATTCTTGCATAATTATCTTATTCTATTAACCTTTCAAATACATTATTTACAGTGATTAATTATCAAAGGTGAATGGAAAAGGGGAATAACTTCTCTCAGTAGAATACAAATTAATAGAGCCCTGCCCAGGACCAGAATGCTTAGACAAATGGTCCAGATGTTTAAAAATCTGGTAGAAATACGCTTACTCATATCATTTAAACTTTTACTCAGTTTGCTTCCGATATGCCCAGAAGCAGAGAAGAATTTCACAGGTACAATGCATTTTCACTACAGATTCAACAAAGCCTTACCCTAACACCAGAACCCCTGACCCTGGTGCCATGAAATTCACAATTTTTGAAAAGGCATCCTTATGCATCATAACCATGCACTTAGTTTGTTTTAATAATACCCAGGAGCAGAGAAGAAGATTTTCAAAGAATTAATGCATTTTCACTATATAATCAATAGAGCCCCACCTTAACACCAGAACCCCTGACCCAGGGGCCATGGCTTTCACAATTCTAGAAGAGGCCCACCTTTTCATCATAACTATGTACTTAGTTTATCACCTTAATGCCCAGGAGCAGAGGAGAAGATTTTCAAAGAATTAATGCATTTTCACTATATAGTTGATAGAGCCCCACCCTAACACCAGAACCCCTGACCCTGGGGCCATGAAATTCACAATTTTGGAAGAGGTACTCTTGCTCATCATAACTATTTACTTAGTTACTTTATTAAATACCCAGAAGCAGAGAAGAAGATTTTCAAAGAATTAATGCATTTTCACTATATAATCAATAGAGCCCCGCCCTAACACCAGAACCCCTGACCCTGGGGCCATGAAATTCACAATTTTTGAAAAGGCACTTTTGCTCATCATAACTATGTACTTAGTTACTTTATTTAATACCCAGGAGCAAAGAAGAAGATTTTCAAAGAATTAATGTTTTTTCACTATATAATCTATATAGCCCTGCCCTAACACCAGAACCCCTGACCCTGGGGCCATGAATTTCACAATTTTGGTAGAGGGCTCAATGCTTATTACAATGATGCCAACAGTTTGACTGCTTGGTGTCCAGGAGTAAAGAAGAAGATTTTTAAAGATTGCATTATTTTTGGTGGTTTTAGCCTCACCCCTCAGGCCCCAGGGGGGCAGGGACCATGAAATTCATAATTTTTGTTCCCCTTCACCCATAGATGCTATATACCAAATTTGGTTGAAATTGGTTGGGCGGTTCTAGAGAAGAAGTTAACCAGAAGTCTCTGATGAGACTGTAGCTCTACTGGTCTGTACATATACATGTAACAAAGAAAAAGTAGCACTTGGATTTGAAACTTTCCAACATGCAGCAATAAATAGAATTATGTATCTTAATATAGTCTACTTGTGTGCCAAGTTAAATTGAAATCAGATCAAAACTGTAGGAGGAGTAGCATTTTAAAAGAAATTCACAGAAATTTCTATTTTTAGTAACCATGGCAACATCGTTCATCCAAATCAAAAACTGATGCTCTTAATTATGTATCTTAGTGTAGTCTACTTGTATGCCAAGTTATATTGAAATCAGATCAAAATTGTGGAAGGAGTAGCATTTTAAATGAATTTCACAGAAATTTCTATTTTTCGTAACCATGGCAACACCGTTCATCCAAATCAAAAACCGATGCACTAAATTATGTATCTTAGTGTAGTCTACTTGTGTGCCAAGTTATATTGAAATCGGACCAAAACTGTAGGAGGAGTAGCGTTTTAAAGAAATTTCACAGAAATTTCTATTTTTAGTAACCATGGCAACACCGTCCATCGAAATCAAAAACCGATGCACTAAATTATGTATCTTAGTGTAGTCTACTTGTGTGCCAAGTTATATTGAAATCGGACCAAAACTGTTGGAGGAGTAGTGTTTTAAAGAAATTTCACAGAATTTCTATTATTAGTAACCATGGCAACACCGTCCATCGAAATCAAAAACCGATGCACTAAATTATGTATCTTAGTGTAGTCTACTTGTGTGCCAAGTTATATTGAAATTGGACCAAAACTGTAGGAGGAGTAGCGTTTTAAAGAAATTTCACAGAAATTTCTATTTTTAGTAACCATGGCAACACCGTCCATCGAAATCAAAAACCGATGCACTAAATTATGTATCTTAGTGTAGTCTACTTGTGTGCCAAGTTATATTGAAATTGGACCAAAACTGTAGGAGGAGTAGCGTTTTAAAGGAATTTCACAGAAATTTCTATTTTTAGTAACCATGGCAACACCGTCCATCGAAATCAAAAACCGATGCACTAAATTATGTATCTTAGTGTAGGCTACTTGTGTGCCAAGTTATATTGAAATCGGACCAAAACTGTAGGAGGAGTAGCGTTTTAAAGAAATTTCACAGAAATTTCTATTTTTAGTAACCATGGCAACACCGTCCATCGAAATCAAAAACCGATGCACTAAATTATGTATCTTAGTGTAGTCTACTTGTGTGCCAAGTTATATTGAAATCGGACCAAACTGTAGGAGGAGTAGTGTTTTGAAAAATTGTTTACAGACAGACGGACAGACAGACAGACAGACAGACAGACAGACGGACGGACGACGGACACCTTACTATCGCATAAGCTCTTCTGGTCTCTGACCAGTAGAGCTAAAAATGTTCAAAAGTTAACGCACGACGGACGATGACGGACGATAGCAATAGGTCACCTGAGTGACTCAGGTGACCTAAAAAGTCAATTGCATCAAAACTAAGATCAGGTCTCATAGGTACAGTATTTGTCATTAAATTCAACCCTGGAAATCTGGTAAACATGACCCTGTTGTGAAAATAAGCATCCCATCAAAATAAACCAACACAATGTACAATACATGTATAAGCAATGTGTAGTCATAAAATTACCTAGTGAATTCTTTATAAAATCCTGATATACCATGGGTTGTTACATAGTCATTAAATAAAGGTATTTTAATTATTCAGAATGCAATTACTCAGGTAAAAATTATGAGTTGAGTTATAACAGATTACAACAGTTGAGTGTGGTCATTAAACACAAACACTAAATGGAACGTTTCCAACACATCATGCCCAACTAAATTTTTGAACAAAATTTCAAAGTTTGTTCATGGACCTGAAATTACATTAACAAGTACACTCAAATGAATTAAAATGAAAGTTAATTTAATTTGATTCATTTCAAAGTTTTCTTATGCCAGCTAACCTCAGATTTTCTACTTTTGGTGCTGTATGATCTCCATATGCCCACTGTGACCCTGCAAAATATAAATGGATATAAACCTAATCTTTGAAACACCCATCCTCACAATGTAACGTCAGGGGTCCTGACTCCATTCATGGACCACTCAGGACCCCTGAAGTTGTGGCCAGGATGTAAAATATTTTAAATACATATTTAAAGAATGAATTATTAATACCAAAGTCAATAAAAAAAATTGCTAAGAAACAAAGTCTAGAGATATCTGACATTACATGTAACTTGGAACCATTGCTGACCCAACTCAACCATAGTGCCTTCTAGCTACATAATGTTAGTCATATTAAAATAGCATGTAGTGAGAAAATTTCAACAGTTGCAGACCTTCCTATCCCTAACAATTGTATTCCGTAGCTTTCTACTAAATTTGTCTGCAAGATTTGACTTTTATGCAGCAGATTTTCTACTTTCAAGGGAGAGTAGGCAGGTCTACAGTAGGCAAATTCGGTAACGATATCATTATAATATTTTTTTTTTAAACCAAATGAGAGAACTGAATTTTTGTAACGAATTACTGCGACAAATAGATGTAGGATAAAACAGACTCACCCTTTTGAATGTAATCTTTGTGACTGTACTTGGAGGAAATTCAAGTTAAACAATGCATTAGATGTTTTCAATAATTTTTGACAATGCTTAAACATGTCTATATAAAAGCAGTAAGATTACCGGCAAATGGTATTTATAGTAAAAGAAATAATGTCACAACACATCTCTTACGCAGAAGTCAATTCAACAAAACAAAAACTGGCATGCTAGACTAAAGTGAAACTGAAAGCGAAACTACCGAAGCCGGTGTAAATTATATTCGTTCTTAGAGTAGTCGAACCTCGCAATTTAAAGTTCATACATGTACTACTATTAAAATAAATCTTTTGCTAATCCATGAATTGATTTAGAATTACATATTTTTAATCAAAATGCGTCATTTTTAAGGTTACATATGCATTATACACTGTTTCCTGCGAATAATCTAGGAAATTTAATGCAAATTTCACTGGAAACGCGGAGGAGAAATAAATTTGAAAATTTGAATTCAAATCAGTTTTAAATCATAGAGCTAAGATTAATTATCAGTTTAGAGCCTATGAAATAGAGGGAGACTACTCCAAAAAGCTCATGGGCCACAATGCTCATCTGTCGGCTCAACTCCAATTATAAGAATAAAGTCGTACCAGTCAAGAACTTTAGATACAAATGTAACGGGAGAGGAGAAAATGCAGCGGACCAGACCGGGATTCGAACCCGGGCCCCCTGAATCTCCAGTCAGGTGCTCTACCAACTGAGCTATCTGGCCACCGGCGATCGAACCCGTCTGACCGCCACACACATATTCCTTTATTTTTAATGAGTGATGGTTGATAGTTGACACTTTCTGTATAATGATGTTCTACGATTCAGTTGATAAACGCACTTTTCCTTTATGGGAAAGGAAATGAAAATAAGATGTGTTTGTGAAACACTGATGCCCGCGTATGGCAGCTTATGGCGAAGGTTGAAGTTTCTCAAATGCAAGTCAAACTTCAGGTCAAGAGATCAAAAATGTTGGTACCCAAAGAAAGGTCTTGTCTCGAGGAATATACTTGTGAAATATGAAAGCCCTAGCACCAACCGTTGAAAAGTTATGGCGAAGGTTAAAGTTTTTTTAAAAGTAAGTAAAACTTCAAAGTCAAGGTCAAATGGTGCCCAAGGGAAGGTCTTGTCACAAGTGATACACATGTTCATGAACCAAACGTTCAAATGCTATGGCCAAAGTTTAAGTTTTTCAAAAGTAGGTCAAACTCCAAGGTCAAAGGGTCAAAGTTGTTGGTATCCAAAGGAAGATCTTGTCACAAGGAATGCACGTGTGAAGTATGAAAGTCCTAGCACCAACTGTTTAAAAGTTATGGTCAAGGTTAAAGTTTTTCAAAAGTAGGTCAAACTCAAGGGTCAAAGTCAAAGGTTTAAAAATGTTGGTATCCAAGGAAGGTCTTGTCAAAAGGAATACACATGTGAAGTATGAAAACCCTAGCACTAACTGTTCAAAAGTATGACCAAGGTTAAAATTTTTCAAAATTTAAGTAGGTGAAACTTCAAGGTCAAGGTCAAAGTTGTTAGTATCCAAAGGAAGGTCTTGTCACAAGAAATGCACATGTGAAATATGACAGCCATAGCACAAATTGTTCAAAAGTTATGGCCAAGGTTAAAGTTTTTTCAAAAGTAGGTCAAACTCCCAAGGTCAAGGTCAATGGGTCAAAGTTGTTGGTAGTCAAAGGAATGTCACAAGGATTACACATGTGCAGTTTGAAAGCCCAAGCACCAACTGTTCAAAAGTTATGTCCAAGGTTAAAGTCTCATAAAATTTTGCAAAAGTGGGTCAAACTCCAAGGTCTAAAGGTCAAATATGATGGTACCCAAAGAAAGGTCTTGTCACAAGGAATACACATGTGAAATATAAAAGCCATAACTCCAAACAATCAAAAGTTATAGGCAAGGTTAAAGTTTTTGCGGACAGACAGACAGACGGACGGACGGACAGGGCAAAAACTATATGGGGGCAAAAAAGGCCTTAAAGATTCATAGAAGTATAAAATAAAACAAAATAAACTAAACCTGAACCTATGTTGCTAGGTGAATAGCAAAAAGGAATAACTTACAAATTAGTATAACCCTGCCCAGCACCAGAACACTTGACCATGTGGTCCAAAATTTCACAAATCTGGTAAAAATACCCTTGCTTATTACAACTTTGTACTATATTTGACTCTTAGATGCCCCAGAGCAGAGCAGAAGAATCTCAAGGGAATAATACATTTTTTAAATAGATTTAACACAGTCCCTCCCTAACAACCAGAATCCATGACCCAGAGGCCTTGAAATTCACAATTTGGAAGGAGCACCCTTGCTCAATATGACCAAAAAATTAGAACTTTTTCTTATTACCCAGGGGGCAAAGAAGAAGGTTTTTAAAGAAATACTCAGAAGCAGAGAAGAATTTCAAGGAAATAATGTATTTCACTATATAATCAAAAGAGCCCCCAGGAACCCTTACCCTGGGGCCAAGAATTTCACAATTTTTGGAAGAGGCACCCTTACTCAATTTAACCATGCATCTAGTTTATCTGCTTAATATTCAGTGGGAGAGAAGAAGATTTTTAAAGAGTTTATGCATTTTCACTATATAATCATTAGAGACCCGCCCTAACACAAGAATCCTTGACCCTGGGGCCATGAATTTCAAAATTTTGGTAGAGTATCAATGCTTATTACAATCATGGCAACAATTCAACTGCTTGGTGTCCAGGAGTAAAGAAAAAGATTAAAGATTGCGTTCATTTTGACTTTTTTAGCCTCACCCCTCAGGCCCCAGGGGGACAGGGACCATGAATTTCACAATTTTTGCTTCCCTTCACTAATGGAGGCTATATGCCAAAATTGGTTGAAATTTGTTCAGCGGTTCCAGAGAAGAAGCTGAAAATATTTAAATGTTAACGTACGACGCACAAAAACATAATAGCAATAGGTAAGTAATAGCTGAGTATCTCAGGTGACCTAAAAATTTCATCATCGAAATGTAATAAACACGAATAAACTATAGTTTAAGAATTTGCAGCCCAATTACAGCTGTCTTTATTAAGAAATCTAAAGTAAGAATATAAAACTTTGTCACAAAAAACGAAGATAGGAGAAAATAGACTTTCTACTTAATAATGGATAACAATTAATATGGCAATTTAAGTAAATGTATAGACATATGCTATTAAATATCATGCAATTGAATATGATATCAAAATAATGTACATATATCACCAAAATAATTTAAGACACATAAAACAAATACATAATCCTAAAAAACATATTTGAGTATTATGGGTGAGATTGCAGGAAATATCCGACAACAAGTTAATCTTTGCACTCCAGCAAATTTAGCAAAGATAGAAGGAGTACCCTGTTTCGCGGTAAAGAAACACATAAAGAAACCATTCTCTAACGCAAACGCTACAACCGTGCATATACATGCAGTACAGTATACTGTTGAGATATTTCACACAATTTTGAGATTTAAAACAAATAAGAAGGCGTGCCCCCAAAACATGCAATATTCAGTCCTTTGCAAGCTGCCAAGGGTCCTTGTAGTCAAAAGGAGGGGGAATAGCAGAAAAGTCAATAGGTGCATTAGGATCAAATGGAGTCGTAGTTACGAGGTCATTACCATGGATATCGTTTTTGTCCTTTTGAGTGCCATCCGAACTTTTTGGTTTCGGTTCTTTTATTTTCTTTTCTTTTCTTGGTGGGAGTCGGTTTGGAATATCGGTCGACTTTTCTCCAGTCTTTACTTCTTTTAAATCTAAAGGAAAAGGAGGTGCAACAGGGTTGATACCAGGCCCAGCTAAAGGGAATTTCGGGGGTTCCGCGGAGACCTTGTTATCACCGTATTTAGACTTTTTCTTCTGTTTTATGGGTACTTTGATTTTCTTTGGCTTATTAGTGTTAACGAGGATTAAATTTCTCTTCATTTCAGACTTTGCCGCCATTCTTAAGCTGGCGGTTTTCGGACAGAGTTTCCTACAACAGCACACACAGAAACATAAAGCGCCAATTAATAAAGCCGCCGTGAAGACACCCGCGATCGTATAGCGGACATAGTCAGGCAGTCCAGACGAGGATTCATTGTCTAAAAATAAAAACAGAGAAATGTATACAATATACTTAAAGTACAGTATATACTAGTACTCTATTTAAGCTTGCAAAAGTAACCGAAACCATTTTTTTCATTAACATAATTATCGTAAAGATCAGTGATTTTTTTTATCTTTCATGTTTCTTGATTTCCTTAAAATTACAATTTCCGATCTTAATGCGATAAATCGCCAGTTCACAACCCTTGATACCTGATGATGATGTCGAGTTGACAATGACATAGGATACGGAGAACCCCTTATCTGTGACAGAGGCATCTGTTTTAAAACGCATCAATAGAAACTTCCCTGTCGAGTACGTATAGGAAGTAGAATTTTCAGTAAGGTCTCCACACAGGGTCTTGGCTAAAGGATTGGAAAGGCATGCTCCTAAAAAACAATACATTCTCTTTTACTTAATGGCAGTGAAGTCAAACTGTTTTACGAGAAGTTTCTGATAAGTTTGTATTCTATTTCATTTTTGTTCCTACAATTGATATTACAAAAGGTCAACAAATTTTAGTATTGTTAAGACCGTGGTAACTAACCGAGATGAATACATTATGCGTATATGGTTATACGTACATAAAGTTTACATTTTAATTATTCAAATTACATTTACATGTCAATCAAAACTCAACCGGAACTCGATCCCCAGCCTCTGGCTTACCGTGCCAGCACTGTAACCGATGGAGTTATTGAAACTCGATTTAGTGACTGATGTTCTTTCACCTGTTAACATACTGACACATTCCCTAAACTAAAACTGTTTGTTATACCTTTAAAAATTGTTTCTATATAAATCTATGCTTAAAAGCAAGTATTTCTAATGTTGTAGTGAGCGGTCAAAAATAATGTTGGATGACTCGATGAGATGTCGGACCACTATGACTTTTTACGTCACTTAATGTTTCTCAGTTTAATTGGGCGGGATTGTAGCGGACAATATAAAGGGAACTTATCCTGCCTCGCTAATGAGCTAGCTTTTATAGTGATGCGGTAGAGCCTCCCTAAATTTTAGGCAAGTTAAGCAACGGTGAGCCTGTATATAATAGCCTTTGGATGGGTGACCGCCTAACGTTATAGTATCAACTTATTTGCGATCGTTGGTGTTTAAACGTTACAGACGACCGAGTTAAATCCGCAATAAACAAAATTTACATCATTTTTTTTCATATTCATCACAAACATTGTTCAAATCTGTAGAAAGATAAATCGTCAATCTCCAATGCAGAGTTGTCGTTCGTTCCTCTCTCAGACCTCCTATGCAGAGTTGTCGTTCGTTCCTCTCTCAGACACCTATGCGATGGGCTCACGTCAAGATTTTTGACATAACGTAAAAAACATGACATTCCAAGGATTATAAGTAAAAGGAAAGGCATAGCAAAACATTTATTGACTGCGTCCTCGGGCAGAATGCGTTTTGACGAACCCTCGAAAAAAGCAGTTTGCCTATGTCCTAACGGGAAACAGTTTGGATCGTTCAACAAAAGGCAAACATGTTGCACACGAACCCAGTAAATAAATGTATAATATCATAATAAAATATATCTTAAACAACACAAGTTTTCTTGAGCATATTTAAAGATTACTTTTATCAATGATCGTTTAACTAGAATTCGTCTTCATATGAAGTGTGAATACAATACATGTATGTTATTTATGAAAAGTGAGGCTAGATGTTTATCCCATAAAGATGATCTTTCAAAAAAAAAATTCTTGTATTAATCATATCTTGACCCTTTGTTGGGAATTTAAACTAAAACATAAATGAATATTACTTCTCTTGAAAATAATGTAAAGAACTTGAAGGAAAATTTATTTACCTTTATAAATTGTTACGTTGTCAAAGATACATTCCTCAGAATGTTCCAATCCAAAGCTCAAAAACTTCACGGAGAGAATATCAGACTCCTTTGGTTTTGTTATCAACCAATATACATCATGGGAGCTGAAAAGAGGGAGAAGAAAAGAAATCTATCAAATCTAGTAAGTGCACTATTCCTTTCACACATACATAATGTCTGGCTCCCTTACATTAGTATTAATTCATGTAGCTACAAGCGATAATACTTTTGAAAAAAAAAAAAAAAACAGTATTTGAATTTCTTAATGGAAGGTATTGGAATTAGCTTCTTTTTCGAACAGTATATAAAATATCGGATAGACCAAGACAGCCAAGACAATACAAAAAAAAAAAAAAGAAAAAAAAAAAAGAAAAAAGAATATTTCTTCCGCATTACAAAAACTAAAAACTAACACTGACCAAGAAATCAGGAAAATCTGTGTCTGAGAATTGGTAATTTATCCACGTAATGTGTGGAAATTACTAAACATTTGCCTATTGCATGTACTTTACATGAAGAAAATATTATAAGAATAGTAAAAATATGCTTTTTATAAACGGGAGTTAAACCACTGTTAGTCATAATCAAAGGAAAAAAAGTGTCTGAAAACTGGCTGCCAGTGAGTAATAATTAATAAGCCAAGACACTCCTTGATACCGCTCTGTAAACTTACTTGTTATAATTTTGCGAGTTCGAAAATTCAGGATGGGATTCGAACGTTTGTACTTGATACGAAGCGGTCAGCACAGTAGTCACACTCTGATTTACACAAGATGGTATCTCTGGGGAAAAAAAGAAAACGTATGTATTAATTTAAGTCTATGGGTACATATAATGTATTTAAGTTTTCCGTTTCTTTTTATATTACCGGAAGTAATGGATTGATAGCCGATTTTGAATCCAGTTTGTTGTGTCCTCTCATCGCTAACAAAATGAAGTCTGACTGCTCTTCCGGTAGTAAGATATACCGGAAGTCCCGATGAATTATAGTAGTTGCCAGTAATTGTACCAAGCAGGGTGTAGTCTGTGGTGTCACCTTCAAAATTGAAATCAGGGCCAAATTAGAAAAGCAGCAATTTACATTTAAAAATGTATATATAACTTGCATGTATAGATCTATAAGTTAGAAAGATATTCTGGAGGTGAAACTTGGTCCAGTAAATCAGTTAATACCTATTTATACAAGGAAGCTGAACAAGCTTCAGAGACAGTTAATGTTTTTGAAGTGATTTAAAGTTTATACGGGTAAATACAAGTATTTATACCATCATATATGTAAAGAAAATCGCAGCAACTTTCTAGGTCAATGGCTTCAAAAGTTAGCTGGATGATCATACTCTCATTTGCAGTTCGAATGATCCATACACAGGATGAACCACTAAAGTAAAAAAAAATAACAATAATATTCTGAGGTTGATGTTCTGATGATCTTTTTTATTAAACTTTCAAATTTATCTTTTAGAAGGGATTCTAACCTGTTGTAGTCGAATGGATAGTTGGGGGAAGTGATGTGATTGGTCACATTTTCTGCGATCAGCGATGTATTGCCACAGGTGTCCACAACCGGGGGCCCTATAGTGGGGACCGTGGCTGGCGCTGGTGGAGTCCCTAAAATCACCAGCACCATTGTCAACAGCAGTGTAAAGATAGATATTTCTCAAGATATATTTCAGTTTTCGCTTCTTTGTCTGGGTATACGATATGAGACTGAACAGATTTGACTGTAGTTTTAAACTCACCTACTCGGTTGAAGCTGAGTAAGAACCCTCTGTACAAGTTAACACTTCGTCGATAGTATACAAAATAGGCATACTGTTGACTGGTTCCAAGGACAACGGAGCCAGACTCTGTCTGAGACTTATCTGATACTGTCCCCAGAATGGATGCCGCATTAGAGTTACCTGCATCATAAAATACCAATGTTTTATCATCGTATATTAATTACATTGTCTTCACAAGTCCTTATGCTTGCTTAGAAAAAAAATCGTCCGGAAAACTAGGAAGACAAACTAATTGAACGACAGAAGACTGACAAACAGACAGACAAACGGAGTAGAAACCTATAGTTTATCAAGTTTTACCGGTAAGAAAATAACAAATTGATACCGGAGAATCTTGAAATATATACCTACCGTCATACACAGTGAGTCCTCCGGGATCTGACCCGTACGCATCATCAGTGATCAGGATACTTATGTTTAAATAATTTCCAGTTCCCGCGTCTATCTTCCAGTAGCAGAAGTCATTGCTAAAGAATGAATCAACCGGTATAGTTTATAAATAAACTAAAATTAAAATAATTATATTTCAATAGACCATTGTCGATGCAAGAATGCTTTTGTTAACTGAATATGGAAAGCATGTCAAGTTTCGACAGAGTTTATGAGATATAAACAGAGAGAGAAAAAAAAACATACGTTTGTACTATACTGTATAAATCCTTTCCTTGAAATAATTTTGAAAGTGTCATATGCAAAGTAATGAAAAGAGTGGCATAAATATTAGCCTTAAAAATTTAAAGTTAATAAGGAACCACCTTTCTTTAAAAACGTAAACTTTAAAAAAAATCTTATGATTTCAAACTCAAATTAGTTTTTTACTATGGGTTTTAGCAAAGGGTATACTTGAAAAAATGGTAAGGTAGAAAACTTTTAATTAGCGATTCTCACGTAGTTCTCATATTGTTCAAAGACTGTGAGTGGTCCAATAAATCATATTTGAAATAAAGTTTTGTGTTGAGACAATACCCTGAGTAGAAGTCTGGAAATGTCGATAATGACTGCTGTAGACTTAAGGTGGTGGTCACCGTTATGGAGTGCTGGGCACTCTGGGAATAACAGGGCATGAGTTGTCTCTGTCCAAAGACTGAAGATGAAACGAAATTTATATTATTGATATCAAAAGACTCTGAATAGTCTTTTTGGGAAATGACTTCATACTAACAGGTGAAAAAGGATAATTGGGAATTAACATTGTGAATCAGTGTTTTTAACAGGTACCCCGTATTTTTATAATATGAACACATTTTATGTATTTATCATACATGATTACAAATCAGTATAACTGCCTCCTAGAGAAAAAAATAGAGATTATTTTTAAAAATCTTACTTGTGGGATAAAGACTGAAGTACTGCAAAGTAAATCCTGCCTTTTCGATGCCCATGTCCGACGTGAAAACAATATACATGTATTCCCCTGTGCTTTCATAGTAGCTGTTAGATTTTTCTCCAAATAATGTTACCAAGAGGGTTCCACTCGGAGAATTACCTGAAGAAGACGGACATCAGATATACAGTTGACAACAATGAAGTTAATGCCTCTCGCAATATGTTTAACTGCAAATACGAGCATATTTAATATATATATATATATATATATATATATATATATATATATATATATATATATATATATATATATATATATATATATATATATATATATATATATATATATATATATATATATATATTACATTTCCGATGTCTTTGTCCGAGATAAAGTTACAAATTGTTAAATACTTTATTTAAGGAATAACTGTCTAATTTTTTGGATTCATGATGTGATCAATCGAGTGGCTTGAGTGATAATTTGCATAAACGCCGAAGGCGTTTATGCATAAAATTATCACGCAAGCCAATCGATTGATCATCGTCATGAATCCAAAAAATCTGACAGTTATTCCTTATATTTACATGCTCTTGATTCTGCAAATTCACGTGCTACAATTCCCGCTTCTGTCTCTATTTGTCCCGCCCCGCACGTGATTTTTTTTCACCACGCCTATCGATGAACCAGTAGATTTATGTAGAAATAAAGTATTTTTACAATTTGTAACTTTATCTCGGACAAAGACATTGGAAATGTAAATATTTCTACATAAATCTACTGGTTCATCGATAGGCGCGGTTAAAAAAAAATCACGTGCGGGGCGGGACAAATAGAGAAAGAAGCGGGGCTATTAGCACGGGAATTTGCAGAATCAGGAGCATGTAAATATAAGGAATAACTGTCAGATTTTTTGGATTCATGACGATGATCAATCGATTGGCTTGCGTGATAATTTTATGCATAAACGCCTTCGGCGTTTATGCAAATTATCACGCAAGCCACTCGATTGATCACATCATGAATCCAAAAAATTAGACAGTTATTCCTTAAATATATGTATATACACCATAGTAAATCAAAATATAAAAATATTTTCCAACTTTAATTAAAGTTATTTATTACTATGAAATTCAGACTGTTTCATTTATTCCAATTTTTAATTACATTGTTTGATTTTTAAATGTAACAGCACTTGTATAATCAATTAACTATTTCACAATAAAGCAACATTGACATTGACTTTAAGGGATATACATGTAATTTTACAATCACAGGAAGTTCCAGAATAAATCATAGTAAGTCAAAATGTCATGGTTAAGTGTTAAAGTATCATAATAATTCAATCATCAAAATATTATAGAAAATCAATACTTTAAGTATGATTTATATTAAAAAAAAGAATTGTAGATAACATTATTTATCTTTTGATGGGGTCTCTCTAGAATAAATTAATCTGGATCGAAAATCTACGATTGGTTCAGGCCTCCATTAGGGCGTTTACTAAATTTCAAACTCGTAGCCAATCAAATCGATCATTCTGATAACCAGTCAAACTGCTCATTCTGATAACCAGTAAAACTGCTCACTCTGATAACCAATCAAACTGCTCACTCTGATAACCAATCAAACCGATCATTCTGACAACCAATCAAACTGCTCACTCTGATAACCAATCTAACTACTCACTTTGATAACTAATCAGACTGCTCACTCTGATAACCAGTCAAACTGCTCACTCTGATAACCAGTCAAACTGCTCACTTTGATAACTAATCAAACTGCTCACTCTGTTAACCAGTCAAACTGCTCACTCTGATAACCAATCAAACCGATCATTCTGACAACCAATCAAACTGCTCACTCTGATAACCAATCTAACTACTCACTTTGATAACTAATCAGACTGCTCACTCTGATAACCAGTCAAACTGCTCACTCTGATAACCAATCAAATTGCTCACTTTGACAACCAGTCAAACTCATTCTTAAATTAAACAAAAATAAAATTCTTACCATCATAGATACGTATTTTATCGAAGAAAGACTCTGTGTTGATAACGTTAAATACAAGTCCCACGGTAGAAGATGAAGTTTCTGCTTGTATCAACCACTGACAGTTGCTTGAGCTATAAAATTAAATCTTTAATTATGCATACGCAACAAATGAAAGCTTTTCAAGCTTACATATATATTGTACGCTTTATTATTATTATTTTTAAAAATCTTTCTACAGTAATTTTTAGCAAACTTTTCAAAAAACGATGGGCATAATTTGTGTTCCTATATAAACCGACCTCATTTTATATTCATATTAAGCCGAGTTAATATATATAAACATTCTAGAAAGTTATAAGGAACATGTATTGTACGTTAGTTTTTTCACTCCAAACCAAGTCATTAGAACATATTTATCTCATTTCGATACGTAAAGATTGCTTTTATAAAAGATCTTTACCTTGGATAGTTATAAGGATAGTTCGGGGAGCTGATGGTTGGGGCGGTTCCGTGATGGGCTGACAGTTGCAAAGGAGTACTGCACTGTGAGGTTACTGAAGAAAAATTTTCATAAAATGTAAGTCTCATTAGGATGAGTAACATGTAATACATTGGGGCCACGGACAATGAACTCATTATTTTAATCTAACAAGATGAAACTGCATCATTCAATGAACTCAATGGTCATTAAAGGTCTGGAAAGAAGGCTGAATGGAAGAGCTCTGCCATTAAGTCACCTTAAAGTACACTCTCAGCTAAATTTCTGCTAACTGAATGGCAGAGTTTCATCCTGTTATTTTTATTTTAAAGGGGTATAGAGTAATTTGTGTTCGACAGCAACAGGAATCTATGCTGAAGTTCCTTAGTTGTAAAACGAAGAGAACTCGTCCATTGATATCTGCGCATATTTTTATAATCAAAGATACATTAATTAAATTTCATGAATTCCCCATTTCTTCTTAATTGGTCCACCTATAAAAAGATTTTTTTTAAAAAAAATCTGGTTTTAATTATTTATACCCAGTCTGAAAAACGTAATGGTTAATTGATCAGAAGGAAGGTTGGACATATAAAGATACAAACGGGAACCGGTCAATTACTTGAAATCATTTGTTAGCATAAGCCAGGGCACAAAAATGGATTTTTCACCATATTGTTAAAATACTTTTCACAAGGCATACATTATGGGAAATGCTTAAAAAAGCCGAGGGCGTTAAAATGTCCAGAGAAAATGTAAGAGTGTATAGCAACATACCTGTTTGAAATGTGATGACCAGATAAAAAAGAATTGTCATATCATTTATCTGAAAAAAGTATTAATACTGTTTAAGCTTGAACAGATTCTGGACATAAATCTATTATATGTAGTTAATTTGAAACACATTCAGTAACATTTCTATTTACATACCTGAAATAAGCTACATTTGTCCATGTTATTGTTGGTTTGTATATAACTCAATGGCTAGCATTAAATCCATGGATGATAGGGTCAAAGCGATTAATCGATGAATATTTATTCTAATCTAGATTAACAAACACATTTAAATGTCGCAGGGTTGGTTTTGTTATGGCTAACAAATACAAGTCAACACTCATAATTTCGTAGATCTACCGTGTGGTCAGAATATTGCAGTGTTGTAAAGAAGATTTTTTGCCTCCATGATAGAAGATTCGGGGGCATATAGTTTTTGCTCTGTCCGTCAGTCTGTCTGTTTATCTGTTTGTGCGCAAAAACGTTAACCTTGTCCATAACTTTTGATTGGTTGGAGCTATGGCTTTCATATTTCAAATGTGTATTTCTTGTGACAAGACCTTTCCCTTGGGCACCATTTATTTTGACCCTTTAACCTTGGCCTTGGAGCTTGACCTACTTAAAAAAAAAGTTAGCCTTAGCCATAACTTTTGAACGTTTGGAGGTAGGGCTTTCATATTTCACATGTGTATTCCTTGTGGCAAGGCCTTTCATTGGGCACTATTTATTTTTACCCTTTCGTATTGGCCTTGGATTTTGGCTTGCTTTTGAGCTTTAGCATTTGCTATGAGCTGTGTTGAAGTTAGAAAAGAATTTATTTTCATAAAAATCTTTAAAGGGACCAAACATTTTATATTCTGTGTAAAAGTCAATATTTAACATCTTCTTTGCCAATATATTTTTTTATTTTCACTAGCCAATTGTATATCTTTCAAGAAAGTATTCCTTAATTAAACATTGTGATTATCATTTGATTTTGCTACTTTTTCCAATAGTATTAAAAAGCAAGCTGATATATTGGGATTTGCTTTAAAATCAGAGATCCAAATTTCTGAGGAATATATCAAAACTGGGACAATAATTGATTCATATAGTTTAACCACAGGTTGGGTGAGAGACCTGAGCCAAAGGGTAGCTTCAAGGCAAAAAAAAAAATCTTTTCTTTTGCTAGCAGCAAGATCATCACAAACATGTTTTAAGTTGCCATTTGAATGTAAAATTATATCACAATATTATTATATATATATATTAATTGTTATAATAAAATATTTAACGATTCTTTATTTTACTGGTAGAAGAAATCATAATCTTTGTTTTTTTTTGTAAGTTACTTCCACTCTAAACAATATCTTAGAAAATGTCTATACAATTTTGGAGACCTTCAACTGACTCACTGATAATAAAACAAGATCATCAGCAAAAAATAAGTGATTAAAAGTTATGTCACCTAAAGATACAGGGTAAGTCATTAGTTTATCAAAATAATTTTTAAAGTCATCAACAAAATTAGTAAATAAAGTAGGACTTAAATTAACCCCCTGTTTAATTCCTACTGTAGCATTAAAAGTCACTATATAAATTCCCCCTCTTACGGCACATTTTCAAGAAGAGCACATATGTTTTATAATATTAAAGAATTCTCCACCAATTCCCTTTTTAAACTTACGAAAAAATAATACAAAAATTAAAAATTAATTGAAAAAAAAATATGTTGAAGAGAGTGAAATGTAATTTTTAAAAATGTGAAAAAATCTCATCTTTGTCATTTTATCGATAAACTAATTCACATTTTGATTTGAAGCAATTTTTTAAAATATAAATTTCTTAATTTTGCATGGGTTAACGTATCTACGCTCCTTATTATTTACCTCAGCGCCAAGTCAAAATTATCTCGCCGTGAACCTCTAGCATGTTGGAGTAATGCATAAACATGTATTTGAGCAGCAACTGATAGAAATTAAGAAACTATCACAAACAGAAAAAAAAGTCTTGCACTTTATGTCTCTAAACATCAATGTAAACGTCTACCCTTTGTGAAATTTATAATCTTTTTTTTCACTGAACAACCAATGAAGATACTCTCCTTCTGTGAGATTCATAGTTAATGCCAGTAGTTGCTAACGATTGCATATCTTCTTTTTTTTTTAAATTTTGAATTCTGAGAACAGACAAATTGCATGTCAAATTAGAGATTAATTAATGAGTTTACAAGACAAACCGTGTAAATAGGCTTTTTAGGAGATTTCTGGTAAAGCATCCTGATCAAGCATGCAGGTGTTATCTTTATCCCTTGGGAATTGGGCAAAATAATCTGGCCTCTTAATTGCAATTGATATAGTATCTGTCAGATTAAAAAGTTCTTATTGGCTAGCTATTATTTTCAAACTAAATTTGGTGTAAAGTAATTAAAACTAATTTGATATTTTATAATATAATTTTTTTTTATTTTAATTGGGCATTTGTAAAACTCTATCACAACCAGTTGAAGAATATATGATGTATAATTTGTTCTAATTAATACCTACAACACAGGAGATGCATATCAACCATTAAGAATGCAAAAGTCATTGAAATTTTTGTATCAAGGTTGACATAATTTTCTTCCTTGCACTCTAAACTATTTAATAATATTAATAACGATTAAATAACGTGCACCGCCACGGTGTATGATACGCCCCTCAAATATTGTTCAATTAATTATTTATGATAATTGATCAATATTTGAAAGGCATATCATACACCGTGGCGGTGCACTTTATTTTATGAAATGTTTCATGGTTTGATAAATCCACAAATAAATGGAATGAAAAAGTAAATGAATACAAGTTTACAAAAAACTTTGAAGGGAATGAAAAAATATAAACGATTGTGAAAAGCCTTACATTTTTATGATGTGATTAAATACAATAAAATAATCCCTAATTATCAATAAAGTAACATTTTGCTTAAGTTAATTAATCATTTGAAGATAAAGAATAGTTTTTTAAAATTTATTTCAACATGTTCAAAGGACAATTTACTTTCACTTTTCCTTTGACATGCACGTGATAATAATAACATCTACTTTCTATGTAAGACGCCATTCAACAGGAAAGAATATTTACACCTAAGGCAATAAAAACAGATGATAACAGATATCAACAGATGATAAAAATAAATATTTGTGAGGAATTTTAAGATTTAGCGGAATAACGGTATAACAAAAAAGACTGATTTACGAATCTACACTGTATGTCATTACATATGCGGTCATTATAACTTACATCCGTGTTTTATTACATGTACAGATATATCAATACGTGATAATCAACACATTATATATTTTTTAAATATAGAAATCAAAGCTGATCAACATAAAATCTGGGTATTTGTAGCTCACCTTAACTTAAAGCCAAGATTAACTGTTCTCGCCTGTATGTTCTTACTGTTTACATTGTAGACTTCTAAATCACTGCCTCGACTTAAAAAGACACTGGAGAGAAAGAATACGATGAACATTATGATAGGATGGGATAACTAGATTTTTTTTTATCAAGAAGTAAGAAATTACATTTTTTATTGAATCTCCGTCAAATAACATGAATATTTCAGATGTTTAGGCCCTGAACTCTGTTGCTGTAGTAGGAAATACATACATGTAACAGAGAACCACGCCTGTGTATCGGTAAATATGGCAAAAACCCTCTTTATGATCATGGATTTCATTTGTTATACTAATATGCAGCTATGTTAATTGCCGCATAGATACCACAGAGCCTAGGTCAACCCCTGAAATAGTGTGATTCTTCATTCGGATTTAAAAGTTACCTTTTCTCACTAAAGATTTGAAAAAGAGGATGCCGCAATATTCACAAATGTATCTTTATGTCAGTTGGTTTATTTTTTTAAATGAAATTATTTACGTAGTTAGAATTGAATGAATAATAAACTTCTGAACTAAATAAAGTGATGATAAAAAAAATATTCAATTCATGGGTTGATTGATTGTTGTTTAAGGTCCCATTCGAGAATTTTTCACTCATATAGAGAACTTCAAATTTAGAAGGGTTATTGAGCAGTGATGGTTCTTTATCGTACCAACGCCTACCGTGTTTAAGTTCTCATCCGAAAGGCCCGTGACTTTCACTTCTAGTGCCGGGCTCTTGGCGAAGGAACAGTCACTACCTTTGTTTACGTCTTAGGTTTGATGCTGCGCGGCGAACGAGAATCGAACCCGGACCTCCCGATCACGAAACGAGCACCCTACCGTGACCGGTTTCAATTCATGGAAAGAATGTGTTACCATTCTAAAGTGCAAATTAATTTTTTTATTCACTAAATGTAACACAGTAGCTGTGTAAGCTTTGTAACCCATTACATCATATACTTGAACTTCGGAAATATTTACCACGACTTTTATTCAAGGAAGAGATGTTTCAATGATTAAAGCAGGAAGCTCCCGTCGGAAATTCACAACAAATACGACAGAAATGGAAAACTACATAATCGAAACATCAAATACAGTAGAAGAATGGAACAGTAAACTAGCCAGGATCCTAATTCCCAATAATGTGATCCTGTCTCTGTATATGATTGCAGGATTGGTAGGAAATTCTGCCGTGATTTTCATTTACGGATTTAAGATGAAAGGCAACAAAATAAAGGGAAACAAAGAAGAAAGATATTTCATTCCATTTCTTGCCACTGCTGATCTTTGTGCCACACTCGTTTGTGCTTCATTTGGAATCGCTCAAAATATAATGCAGGCGACATTTGATAATGAACCTTTGTGTAAAACTTGGTGGTTTTTTGCTGGCTTCACCACGTTAATATCAGTATTTTTCCTTGTAGTCATTGCTGTACACAGATACCTAAAGGACTGCAAACCTCTAGGAAAACAAATGACATTGAGGTGGAAATGGTTCGCCTTGGGTTTGTGTCTAGTAATTGCATTCCCATTAGCTGGACCCATGACCCATTTTTATGGATCAGAATCTTTCCTTAACGAAGAAATGAAGATCTACGGACGCCGATGTGGCAGATTGAGTACCACAAACAAAACGAGTTCTTTGATATTCGGAGGTACTCTTGTTCTCACAGCGATCACAATTATTATTGTGTTAATTTGTCTATATTCCAAAGTAGGATACACTATTTTTGTACATTTTAAGTATACGAAGGTTGTTGGAAATCACAATAAAACAGAACATTCTCGGGGTGGGGTCTCCAGTGGGGACGACCCCTACAGTAAATCTGAAATGAGTTCCTTTGAGACTCTCGAGACACCCACTGCCGGAATGTCCTCTGTGTACTTCACTCAGACTACCACGCAACAAACGGAGACACCAGTTAATATAGAAGTGAGAGAAAAACATGTTCCAAAACAGTCAAGTAGAAAGCGGAGAAGAAATAAGAGAATTGTTCATAAATTTACATTGATGTTCATGCTGATTACGGTCATATTTCTTATTTGCTATATCCCTAAAGTTATTATCATGCTTCTGGAGGCGAGTAACACAAAGTTTTGGGAGGGATTTTCTGAAGCTGGCAGATCTGCAGTGTCTTTTGTTTACAGGATTTACATACTAAACAATGTCACAAATCCATTTATATATGCCTTTTTAGACAAGAAATTTTCAGAGCAAATTAAAAAGTTGATTAAATCTTGTACTTGTAAGTAAGCGCAGTTCAGTCAATCATAAAACAAGCATGTCTTTTTTTCCAATTTGATATAAATTGTTCACCTTGATTTTCCATTTTCGGTAAAAGCAAAAATCTTAGGAGAAGATGTTGATAAGATTGACGAACAATATAATCAGTACCGTTACTGTTGTCTGTTAATGTTTTCATAATGACAAGGATTGGAAAAATCTAAAGTTTCATGCTATCGTGTTTATTAAAAAATTGTTTTTCTGAAACAGCATTTAGTCTGTCATTTATTCATCTGTAGGGATGATTTTTATTTGTGTTTCCTGTTAAAAATTATTGCAAATTATTGTCCTAAATCATGTATGCCAAATACGATTTTAATGTTACATGTCTTTTTTAATAAGTGTTGTCCAGTAAACTTGTTCTACTATCTTTTTTCCAAAGCAGGAATGATGGGCAATAGCTAATTTATACATTTTAAATCTAAGCACAATGAAAATAAATTTTGATTTCAAAATATTGTTTCAAAAAGCTATGGCTTTCTTAAATCGTATTAATCAAAATGTAAAGATATCATAATCAAGTTCGAAAATTCAATTAAAACAATACAAACTGAGAACAGAGCAAACAGGACCCCTTAAAAGATCAGAGATGGGATCACGAGTCGTGGAGAAGTAAGCATTCCCTGTCGACCAGTCCCCGCCTTGAACACTTTGTTTTGACAGTGTGAAGGGAGTAATTCGTAGACAGTTTGTAAAATGTGATCAAATTAAGGTTCCATTAAGAGCCTATGGAAATTCCAACAGATTGTTGGAAGACCTGGTGTACGTAGATACTGTCATTGATGGTCAATGAATTTTTAATATCACCTTCAGAGTACTTCTGTGTAGATTCAGAATGATTTTAAAGTAACTTTGTAGATTAGCTCTTGACGAAGCAGTTGTTTATTTCAAAATTCTTGGAAGTTCTGTCTCGGAATGGTTGTATTGTTGAAAAATAGTACGCTTTGGTTTTGATGCTAATAAGAAATGGGATGTCAAATTTTCTAAAAGTTTTCTTTACCCACTATTTATAAACATCTCTTCTCGAATATGTTGTCGCACGATACTGCTGAGGTTTCTCCTCAACTGCTGTAAATTTTTTTTTGTGAGGAGTAAAGAAAGAAGCTTGGTAAAACAATCACCTTTTATATATATTTGTGATAAGTTTGTAATCCAGTAAAGAAATGGTAATTGAGATTTAATTTTATTGTTGGAAATATTGATAGTATTCAAACTGACATATAATTTTGAAAAAATCTCCAGGGAAATGCGTTTTGAATGAAAACATTACAAAAAACGTAGGCTTCATTCAATGCTACGTGGGCATTTCATTTCAGACATTGTAAATGATGCATAAATCTGGTACAAAATGATAAAAGCCTGTATATACATGTATATGTCAGTGTAAAAAAAAAGAGAACCCAATCTAGAATTAGGAAGGTGGAATTGTTTTAATCGTCACAATGACTTTAAAGCTTTTCATTTTCAAGTTTCTTAATCTTCATTTTTTGCAACTAATAAAGATTAATTTGACTGAATTTTGTCAATTAATGCATTTTTGGGTGTATGGAGAAATAGATTAGATAGTGAAATATCAGTTTAACCGTTGAGTGGCGAATTTCGTACAATATTTCATTCTGTCTTCAGAGGTGATAGAAGAATTAGATAGATTACCTGATATTTATGTACTGTTGCATCTAACAGCTGAGCATGTAACAGCATTGTGTTTGTTTGTAAGGCTTATGGTTACAATCGCATTTAAGAGGAACTTGGATTTTCTTCTACAGATGTTATATTCTTTACAAATTTTAGATGAAAGGCAGCGGAGAGAAGTATTTTATTTCTTCCTTTCCTTGCTACATCGGAGCAATTTGTTTCCCCTGTTAAAGTTTCTTTCGGGATTACTTTCAACACGTACTATAGAATGGCCTTGTCTATCTGATATACGAGATATACATTCTTTTTCGCACGATAGAGACAGGCAATACCAATCTACATGTACTATCATATGCAGTCGAAATAGTGTAAACCATTGCAAATCTTTGCAACATTTCTAATGTTCATCTCGATGAAAATGAAATCTATGTCACTAAGAGCAACGCTAGGTTATCTGTAATTGGATCTACTTCCGCTCTGACAACAGGGAAAAGTCAGTCTAAACAAACATTATATGTTGTTATGGGAATGTATGTAAAAGGTGAAGTTAACGAACAGTGACCAATGTCATAAATTCAGTTAAGTACACGAATCGTGAACAGGGCAAAACACGGACCCCTGGGAACAACGGGGGCCCGTTTTACAAAATCTCACGACTAAGACAAAAAAGTTAAGTTGATCGTAAAATCATGCAAAATGAATAATTTTGTTAAAATCTGCTTGCATAAAAATATCTTTATAAATTCTTTTTAAAAGATATTACCATTTTCTAATAAATCTAAATTAGAAAGTTACTGTAAACGTATTTTTTTCCACGGGGTCAAAATCACAATTTCTGTTCAATCCGCGGGTAGAAAATTACGCAGATTTTTTAGATTGTCACTACATGCTTTAAATACACTTTATGAACCCTGAGACAAATTTCCGCGGAAAATTAATGACGGTGTGAATAGTGTAAATTAATACCACGCGGAAAAAAGTACTTCTTCAGCATTCTCAAAATTACATTTTAGTCTTTGTCGTAAGTTCTTTTGACCCTGGTGTGGGATCAGTGGCCTTTTTCACAAAAAATCTTACGACTAAGACAAAAATTTTCCCATACCTCAACAAGTATCTAAGCTGTAGTAGGACATCAAAAAATCTTATATTTCTATTACATTAACTTACTTAGTAAAAATGTTTAAGAAAAAAAATGAATATATTTATTAAATAAAAAAATTACAGAAATGTCAAATTTTCAAACTTAGTCGTAAGATTTTTTGTGAAAAGGGCCACAGGTACCTAAGAGGAGTAAGCATCCTCCTGGTCACAGTCGCCGTGAGCCCTCTGTTTGGATGAGGTAAAATGGAGTAAACCGTAATCAATATGTTATTTTTAAAAATTGGCCTAACAATTAATGGGAAGCATGTCAGTAAAAATTAGACCAAGGATAGATTGTATTTGCAAACAAGTTCATTAAAACAACTATAGAATTTGCTGACTTTAAAGGACATACTTGAAATTCCTGGGCATCAGGTTATTCGTCAGTAGGCAGTTGTTAAAAATGATCGTACTCATAACACGCTTTTGAATCTTGAATCAATTGGGAGACATAAACACTGCATGCAGGTCATTGTGGAAGAATGTTTTTCATCCAGTTTGTCATATAGTCTAGTTATTAGTTGGCCATTGACGTCTTTAGTTAGTAAAATATCCAAGTATAAAGCAGATGTTGCGGACAGTATGTTGTCTTTTTATTTCGAGTTCAATGGGATATATCTAGTGAATATATGAATGAAATAACTATTGTTAATTAAAAAAACGCCATCGAGATATCGAAATGTCGAATCGAAAGCCAAAGCAAAAGTTTTTTTTCTTCTCAAGTGGAAGTTCTTGAATGTCTGCTTCATAAGTATATAACAATTTGTCGGCTAAGGAGAACAATAAATGTCCATCGGAATTCCAACAGATTGTTGACAGACTCCGCCTTCAAAGGTTACAAATACATTGTCATAGAGGAACTAAAGCATCTTTTTAATATCGCTAAGAGTATTTGTGTGTAGAATCAGAATGATGTTTAACAAAGTAGTTTTTGTTGAAGACCATTCACAAGATACCAAAATTTCCGAGTGTATTTTATTGAAAAAAAAATAACCCTGTTGTTTATGATGCCAGAAAGTCTCCCCTTTCATATATAGTGAGTAATGGTTATTGAAAGCGTGAAAAAGTCATATGTTTTGATGATGTTTTGAAGACATTGTTTTTTGAAAAGTTTTGTGATTTTAAATTTTACAAAAGTTCTTTGAAGTTTTTGAAAATCCACGTTTAATTTACACTACATTATGATCTTGAATCTAGCACAGTACCTGAAGGTTCTAATTCACGGCAGTTAAATTCTTTAGGAGGAGTAAGGATAGGGCTTGATTGAACATTTACTTCACCCTGCAGTATATCTTTATTTGGACAATCAAATTGAATTTGAATTACCATTTTTATGGATTCCTAAACTACATAAAAATCCTTGCACTAAGATAACTAGAGGGTTTCAGTAAATGTTCTGCCAAGCCTCTTTCTTTACTCCTCTCTAAAACATTAACAGCAGTGAAGGAAAAACTTAATCAGGAGTACTGTACAACAGTATAATCGAAAAGTGGTGTAAATCAGATGTGAATACCAAGGAACTTTTAGAAAGTTAAAAATCGCAAAATTTTACAAAAAAATGATAACATCAAAATGTTAGACTTTTTAACACTTAATACAACTATTCCCCACGATAAATTAAAGTCCAAGCTTTTTGACATCAAAGACAAGTGCTTTTTCAATAGAAATGATACTCGTAAATTTACTACCTTGTCATTGTCATTTGCAAAATTATTTTGTTTAAAAACTTTCTGACTGTACACAGGTACTCCAATGTTGATATTAAAAAGATGCTTGAGTTTCTGATTGACAACATCTATGTAATTTTTGGAGATTAAGTCTTCGGAGCAATGTTAAGGAAGCACTCAGATAAATATTCTGACTTTACTAAATCAATGATACAATATGGCGTCATAGCAGATCTTAAAAAATTAAAACTTTCATTTTTATTTGTGTAGTTTTTTTCTCTTAATTCTTTTTTTGTTTTGCACTACTATAATTTGTTGATATGTGCTAAGTATTTGGTATTTTAACACAAAGCATAGTTGAAGGAAATTTTCCCGGGGGGTGATTCATACTAACTCATACAAAATCTCTCATACTTTTTTGACGAGCAAAAAAGGCACTTTTACTTTTAACAGACTTTTATTTTTTTAGAGTGGCATTTAGTTTGATATATAATGCTTTCTGTGTGTGTGTGTGTGTGAGGGTGTGTTGGTTTGTGTGTGTGTGTGTGTGTGTGTGAGGGTGTGTGTGTGTGTGTGTGTGTGACAATTAACATCAAAATAGAGGATGTAGAATAAGTTATTTTCAATCATTCGATCAAGGAAGAATTTATTTAAATAATATATGTATAAAAGGTAAAAAGTAGTAACAGCCATAAGTCATAACAGAGTGTCGTTCAGAGTGTAAATGAGAACCTGTCCGCACAGATAATGATTAATTAGCATAGGACGGTTTTATACCTTAAAGTCCTGGGTAGAGTAACACATTTTGCAAACATTGGTTTAAATTCTTTTATGAACGTTATTATTACTATGATTAACGTGACAGAAGTGACCAGTGGTCCTACCGATATTGACCGAGGGAATGAACAGCTTGATCTTCTTCTGACTCCGAATATTGTGGTACTCTCTTTGTATATTTTGTTTGGTCTCTTTGGAAACGGTGTTGTTTTTCTTACTTACAGTTTACGCTCAAATCTTCAAAACCAGGACCGATACTTCATTCCTAAACTGGCTCTAGCCGACCTGTTCACATCCACTATCTGCTCATCATTAGCTATCATCGGAAATGTTATGGAGACCAAATTTAAGGACAGGTTTCTGTGCATTTTTGGAAACTTTTTTATGGTATCTACACAGAGTGTCTCGGTTTTACTTCTTTTTATAATTTCTGTACAAAGATATCTTAAAATATGTAAACTTAAAGACATGTCACTAAAGACAAGAAGATTGACAATGATTATCATTATCATTGTGTGTATATCCCTTGGCATAGGGTCTTCTCTGAATTATCGGAAGGAGTCGTCTGACAGAAAAGGAAAAATGACGGGATTTAGATGTAAAAGTGTCAAAAACGAGAATGTTGGTGAAGTTATTCTTGGAACAACTCTTCTCTTTGGTACTGTGACTGTTATTATATCCATGTTGGTGATGTATGGGAAAATAGCACATAAAATTGCTACTCATATTAAGCAAATGAAGGGAACTATTTCTAAAATGGAAAGTATATCGGAAGATTCTTATAAGCACGTCTCCAATACCAGTACAAAGACCAAGTCTAGAGCTTCTAGAGCTTTAACTGTTATAGATGATGTAGAAAATCTTGCTTTGGCGGAATCTTCGATAGAGAACAATGGCTATACATTAGGAAAATGCCTTGTTCCTAACAAAATATTGCACCAGGAAAAACGAAAAAGAAAACACAATATGGGACATAAATTTACTCTAATGTTTATGCTGATCACTATTGTTTTTATCGTATGTTACGTCACAAAAACAATTCTGATGTTACTTGAAAGTTTGGACACTCTATTCTGGGACTCTATGTCGGATGGCAAGCGAGCTGGATTTCTGTTTCTTTACAGAATTTACATTGTAAATAGTATTGTAAATCCCTTTATTTATGCTTTTCTTGATACTCACTTTTCAAAAGAGTTGAAGAAAATGTGCTCATATTGAAGAATTACACATCGAGGTATGTTTTGTTTGTAGTGATAAACTGAAAATGTTCATAATTTGAGTGGCTTTTTATTTGACAGATCAGTGAGACTAAACCATTTTATCACTTTGTTCTTTGTGAGTTATATTTTGGATTTTTAATTTTTACATATAAATAAACAACACCTATACATTAATTACTGTCGTTATATTGATTAATATAGGTATAAACACTTAAGAATTTAAAACAATACATGAAATATTGAAATCCCAACAGGGGTTGCCTAGGTAACACGTCATTTCAAGGTAGGAAACCGTTATCCTTTCTTCTCAAGTAAAACTGTTTTCCGAAATCAACCACTGTAACTTTTTTAAGACTGTAGTTCATAGTAATCATTTAAGAACCTACTCAGTGATACAAAAAGAACTTTAGGTGTTCTCCTTGATACCGGAAATACAAACGGAAACTGTTTATGCTAATTAATTTGAAAGAGATTTTGTACACTTGAGAAACTAGTCGGATGGGCCAGACATGAAAAAGAAGACCTTGACACTGTGTCAGAATGGATTAAATGTATGTTAAAATCGCGCATAAAAAGATTTAGGGGCAATATGAGAACCATCTATCCTTCTTATTCAATAATCCAGAAGTGGAAAAAGAATTAGATAGATTACATGATCAGTACGTACTTGTCCCTGCTGACAAAGCAGGTAACAACATTGTCTTTGTTTGTAAGGCTCATTATATTAAATGTATTTTAGAGGAACTTGGATTTAATTCTACAAGTGGTAATCCAACTTATACTCATAGTTCCCTTTCTAAGGAAGAAATTCTTCAAAATCAGTTTTGCATATTTTTAATATTCCAAACAACCAAAATGAATTTGAATTACCATATTTATATTGGAATCCGAAACTTCATAAAAATCCTTACAAACAAAGATACATAGCGCGTTCCAGGAAATGTTCAACCAAGCCTCTTTCTTTACTCCTCACTAAGATATTAACAGTAGTGAAGGAGAAACTTCAATAGTACTGTGCAACAATATATTCGAGAAGTGGTGTAAATCTGTCGACAGGGGATGCTTACTCCTCCATGGTACCTGATCCCACCTCTGATGTTTTTAGAAGTCCGTGTTTGCTCTTGTATTGTTTCAATGGACTTTTGAGCTTGATTACTGTTCGTTATCTCCATATTTCATATAAATCAAGGGCTCTTAAGATCTCAAACTTTCTTTGATAATTATTATTTACAGCGCATATCATTATTATGTTTGCAATCTGTGTAATAAGGTCTCTTTCATCTTATCAATTGGCTCTGTAAGTAGTTTATTATTGTTATTATAGTTTATTATTGTTATCATTAGAATTATAATATATATTTATACAGATTTTGATGAATTTTGTATAATACAAGAAGGTACAAATGGGTGATTTCTTTTAAGATACATTTAAAAAAAAAAAAAAAAAAAAAAAAAAAAGGAACAAAATACTCTAAATTGAAATATATGGAGATAACGAACAGTATTCAAGCTCAAAAGTCCATAAAACAATACAAAATAGGAGCAGAGCAAACACGGACCTCCAAACATCAGAGGTGGGATCAGGTGCCATGGAGGAGTGAGCATCCCCTCACATCCGCCGTGTGCTCCTTGTCATGATCGGGAAATTCAGTGTGTTAATAATGGCCTAACAATTAGTATGAAAAACGTCAGTCAGCATTTGACTCAATGATAAATTGTATTTGCTGACAAGGTCATTGTATCGACCATAGACCTTACGAAATTCGTACGACAGTCCTTCAAACGGGCGTCACAAACCTCGCTTAATGAATAGTTGGACAATTGTGATGAAAAACATTACAGTACTAGTAGATTATCCGGACATAAAAGGTATGAGAGTCATCTCTAGTCTAGTCTTCTGTATTAATTCAAATAACTTAGTCTAAATATGCAATAATTCAGCAAAACTTTTGTTTTTCAATGCATTGAAAAACATATAGAGTGAAGATGTACAATCCATCTTAGTTTCTCAAATAATACATTCATGGGAATAATAACATAACTGATGTTCAAGTCGATTCTCTTTATTGTAGCTTGAAATAAAGTAAAAAACTAAACAAAATTTTTATCTTATTATTGATTGTAGGATCATGGCCGTAGGAACCGGGGGGGGGGGGGGGGGCACGGGGGGGGGGCGTGCCCCCCAATAATTTTGCCGATATATAGATTACTATAGAAAACAGAGATACTATATGTTTGTGCCCCCTCAATAAAAACGTCTGATGAGCTTTTTTTCTTTTTTTTTTTTTTTTTTTTTTGTCAAGAAATTTTGGTAGTTGATAGTGTCCCCTCAACTGAAAATGTATGGCTGTGCCCCCCCCAAACTGAAGTTGCTTCCTACGGGCCTGAGGATGTCAACAACAAGATATAGTTGAATAATGCTCTACAAATGTTAAATACCATTGACACTACCATAGGCCAAACATAATGTTCCAAATTATAATAGTTCATTGTGAAGTTTTACGGGCTCAGTATTAAGGGGTAGGTACTTTTATATTCTTTTCAATTCACATAATAAATATTTGAAAATATGGTCCAAGATTTGTTTTTTTCCAGTCCTAACTTCTATCCCCCCAACCCACCTACCAATCCCCTGTAACAATGAATTAATATGAAATTTATGACATAATTACAATTTAAAAAAAAGGGGAGGAGCGTTTAGAGTATATAATTTTTCTATAATTTGAATATGGATTGGTGTTTAAATTTCAAGAAATCACTGAATTACAATTTTCATATCTGAATTCCCTTTAGTGATTTTGTTACTGAACTGAATTGAGAATATCCTCAGGCTGATATAAGAATATACTGAAAATCTATGTTTCATTCCATTCTTTTTATGATCATGTCCATCATGTTTACTAGTATACTTCATCTGTCCTTTTATGGAGGATCGCCTCATTTTTTATGCTTTGAAAATTTGATTTTCATGCTCAGAAGATATGCTTTTCCGTTTACTCGATTAAAAATCATAAACCATTGTGGAAACTTTGAAAAAAAATATGCACTGTTGCAACCACTATTGAAATAACGTTCACTATTGAAATAATTATTTCAATAGTGGTTGAAAGTGCATTTCAAAACTAAACACAGGTTGCAACCACTATTGAAATAACGTTTACTATTAAAATAATTATTTCAATAGTGGTTGAACGGGCATTTCAAAACCGAACACAGATTGTAACCACTATTGAAATAACGTTTACTATTGAAACAATAATTTCAAAAGAGGTTTTGAATAAATTTCAAAACCTAAACCAGGCTGCATCCACCATTGAAACAATGTTCACTATTGAAATAAAGATTTCACTTGTGATTATGATTTTAATAGTTGCTTACAATGATTTCAATACCCAAACTACATTGCAAGCCTTATTGAAATAACCCCGCTCTTGAAATATATATATATATATATATATATATATATATATATATATATATATATATATATATATATATATATATATATATATATATATATATATATATATATATATATATATATATATATATATATATATAAAGATAAATTCTTTATTATGTTTCCCAAATTAATGAATTAATTTATTGAGTTTAGAATATGATAAGTAATTCTATGTTTTAATTTCTGTCTAGAAATACTATTAATACACGGATATCTGTGAATTACTTCATTAGTCGTTGAGAGTGCATTTCAAAACCAAACACAGGTTCTAACCACTATTGAAATAACGTTCACTAGTGAAACAATGATTTCAATAAAGGTTTTGAATGCATTTCAAAACCTAAACCAGGCTGCATCCTCTACTGAAATAATGTTCACTATTGAAATAAAGATTTCACTAGTGATTGAAATAAAGATTTAACTAGTGATTGAAATAATTATTTTGATAGTTGCTGGCAATGATTTCAACACCAAAACCACACTGCAAGCCTTACTGAAATAAACCCACTATTGCAAAAAATATAAGGATAAATTGTTCATCACGATTTCCAACACAATATATAATATTTATTGAGTTTAAAATATGAAGTGTTAATTTATGTATTTCTTTATTTTCTATAAATTACCATTAATACACGGACATTTTTGATTTAACTGACGTACCTTAACTTCAAACAAAGCATGCAAATGTTATATACAAGCTTTCGCTGAATCTGGCCTAGTCGGCAAAAACTAACAGACAAGCAATCAATATATGCAAGTTTTAAGTAATTTTGGTAAATATTGTTCATCTTTGCCATTGCTTATAAAGGAAAGGATCATAAATACACATAATTATAGAAATAAGAATATCTACATTAAAAAGAAGAAGACTGACATCTATGTGCACAAACTATCTGATTAAAATATGGTTATTTTTAATAAAAGGAATATACAATAGAGGTAAATTCTCGCATATATTCATGGGCTTGCCTACACTACAAATATGGATAGTTAATCCAACTACTACTCCTCAAGACATGAAAAAACAAAACTTTAAGGGAAATTTGTGTAAGCATTACATATATTACAGCTGTATGTGTTATTTCAATAGTGGTCACACATATAAAAACGCTATTAAAATAATGACCACTATTTAAATCATTATTTCATTCGTGATCGTTATTTCAATAGCGGTTGCATTAATACTACCGATATTAAAATTATATCTACTATTGAAATAATTTTTTCAATAGTCACTATTTCAATAGTGGTTGCAAAAATGTACCATGTACCCACTATTGAAATATTGATCACTATTGAAATAGTTATTTCAATAGTTGATATTATTTAAACAGCGGTTTTATACGTGTAACCACTATTGAAATAACAACCTCTTATGTTATAATGCTTATACTTAGTTTTTCCCTAATGTTTAATTTTTATGTATATATAAGAATTTACTTCTATTCTATATCTTGTGATTAAAAATAACCATATTTTCATCAAAACGTTTGTACACATAGATGTCACATAGATTTTTTCTTTCTTTTTTT